AAACAATTAATAATATATCAAACCATTTCTATTCATAAATATTTTATTCTTAGCTTACACAGTTTCACTTTTTTTGTTATTGTTTTATTATTACCAAAGAAAGAATGTAAGGATAAAGTAATGGTCTCATTTATCTACTTTCATCTTGAGAAATTTTTTAAAAGTATATTTTGAAACTCAATCTAAGAAGTGAACTCACTCTCTCTTTCAGGCATCCCTGAATAAAGAAAGAACAAAATCGTAGTCAAGTTGAGGGACTAAATATCATATGAAAATGATCAATTTCCTGCAAGAAATTCAGACAAAATTGGGCAGAAACTTTAAAAAGACATTTAAAAAAAGCCTTGTTAAAGAATAATTATTTGAAGATATTCTAGAAAACCCTGAAAAACTTATTTTTAATTTGTCAAGGATTAGCTTGATTCGAATTGAAACTGAGGTAGTTTAACTAGGATCCTAATTTTATATTCTAAGAAAATACACTAACATAACTGATACAGAAACTGAGTTTGAAAACTTGTATCAACATCCGCTACCATATTTGTTTTTTTTGTTACTCATTTTCATAAATGAAAAACGTTATATGAAATCTCAAATATCCGTTGGTAATAATTTTCGCTGTAACTTTATCAAACAAAATAAAACAATGTTCTTATTTACATGTTTTCAGATGTTTCTATTAAAATATCTATTTGTACTGGGGGAAGAAATCATCTTTAAACACAAAGTGTCTTATAGTTTTTATGTAAAATCTAGTTTTAATAACTATTATCTGAAATTAATTCAAATGACCATATAGGAAAAGCTAAGCTTACGTTGAATGTAAATTATTTATTTATTTGAACACATAAATATTTATACAAAGGAGCACCGAATACATATGCGCCATACAAATCACTTGATTTGTGTTTGAGCTATAATACTTCTCGGGTGCCCAGATCGATGCAGGTGATTTTTTTTGAGGGGCCACGCCTGGAGCCTTCGACCTAAAGGTCTGATCCACAAGGCAGTGGAGAAACGTCAGGAGATGCAGTCCCATGGTAGGCGGTGACCAACGATTTGTTCATACGCCATTTGTTCCTTCAGGATACTGGAGACATTTGCACCATTGTTTTGGAGTCAGGGTTTTCCAACTTCCCTAGGTAGACTCTCCGTATCCATCAACCCGGTTAAAGAGCCGGACATTCGCTTTTCTTCCTCTCAATGTCGTAAACAAATCCGCACCACGAGAAGGCAGTGAGTAGAACTTCCCTGGCATTGACTGTATACACGTGGTCATGTGAGAGCATTTCCAGAGGAAGAGCTGACTCCTCCCACCCTCAGCCGTACCAGGTCATTTATAGAATGAATGAAATTAAAAATTGGATAAACTTACATTTGATATTTTTATTTCACAGATTTTCATCATGTGCTTTTAATATATGCTTTCTTTTGAATGCAATTATAGTTGTTTATTTTAATTCCTGGTTATAAATATTTTGTTCTTATATTTGATTTAGGTGACAAAAATGTCTTTATTTTTTTGTCAAAAAAAGGATATTTTAAGAAATGAAACAAGTTTTCTGGTCGCCCTCCCTATTTTTATTAAATAAATGTTCAAATATAAGCAAGTGATATCCTGTCAAATTTAACATACCTTACATAAAATTTGTCAAAACTAGTCCAATCGAAAATAAAGTTTATTTGTATAAATCTATTTGAAACAAAATAGTAACCATGTATGTTATATCACTTTACAATTTATTTAGTAACAAAACTGAAAAAAAATTATACTATCTTGTGAATCAAAATGACAATCAGTTAACCCTTTTAAACTTGGTTTATGAGTACACATATTGGTTACTAACTGTAAGCAATAAATCACATAATACAATGTAACGAATATTTTAATTGGTCGTTTGAATCTTACTGATAATGTTTAGAACTGTAATTGATCAGTCTCTTTTTTAGCATATGTGCATGTTGTGCAGATTGTCTCCATATTGTCAGTAAATCACAAGCATTTTAAGCAGAGATGGATAGTGACTATCAGTTAAATCCAAGAATTAAAATTAAAATTCACCCAACTGTACAAACCAGTAGCTATCTGAACTCAGTAACTATGTAGATAATGCGATGGCCTTTGAATTGAATCGCACTGAGTTTGAGTCCCAAAGTGAATATTAACCCTGAAATGCAGGTAAATCCAGGTGACGAGTCCCAAATAAGACGAAACGTGAGTATGGAATTCTACTGATAGCCACGATCCATCAATGCTTAAAATGAATTTAACCAATAATTTCAGATTATGGTTGACATAATTATTACAAATTTGAAACTAATCTAGAATTTCATCCACTCATATTATGAATATAATCTATCATGTTCGACAAAGTATTTTTGCATTTGCTTATTACTCATACCCTATTTCTCTCATCAGTTTATCAACAGAGATAAACAAATCGACTGGCCAATAGAATTTGTTTTCAATGTTTAAGATCATGAGTTAGTGGAAGCTGGTCACTACTTCTCACTAGAACTCCAGGATATACCTCTTGAAGCTAGTCACTAGTGAGCATATGTTGATTAATATCAGATGGGTTTTGTGGATATTATAGTTTCAGTGGTTAAGATCATGAGTCAGTTGAAGCCAGGCCACCATGGAAAACTTGGAAGCACTGGACCGCCGTTTCGACCTATTGTGGGACTCCTCAGCAGTGCGCACTCAAATGTATTCTTCCTAATTAAAAACTGTGACCGACTCGTTTTACTTTACTGTTATGCATTCAATATCAAAATGCTAATTGTTTGTGATAATTTAAAGTGATTTAAAGAATTTTTTAGAAAAAAACATGTATTGATGAACATTAATGAGCAAATATATATCTAAGAACTATTAAGACCTTTATTTTCCATTGATTAGTGACTATATTTCTTTTTTTTTAGACTAAAGACTAAATTTGCACCAAAGTTGTCGCCCTTGTAAATCAGTCACGTAATATTTTATTACTTTTGTAATTAAAATCAGGCATTTCCACCACTTTTTCTATTTTATAAAGTATATAACGGTATGAAATCACTACTATGTTATGTACCATTCTAAAGATAACCTAAGTATTTTTACCACCAAACTATTTGTACTGAATCGTTTTAATATAATTTGCTTCTCTGTCAAAATATACATTAGGCGATTCAAAGTTTTTAAAATACTTAATTTAAGTATAAATCAACTATTTGAACAGAAGCTGTTGTATTAATATAAACCAATTTTCAGTAGGTCAGACATACTTGATCTGTTCAATAAATGCACGACCTGAAGTTATGAGAAGCTTTTTCTTTAAAATGTAATATGCGTCGTTCTTATTCCCTCCAATAAACCTCCCAATATTGAAATCTTACATGTTTGTTCTCCAGTTCCACTGATCAAAATATTATTAGAAACCTTCAAAAGTCAATCTGATCAGCTAACTAGTTGTTTCACATTTCGTCGGAATTGTATAAACAGATAGTTTTCCTATATTTATGACATCGACAATTATCTGGACAGTTAATCGATGATTGGAAGAAATAAGATACTGTTCACATTCAATGGGTCTGTTAACATAAGAAATCAGTGGATATCCTAATTTTATAATGTTCACAACACTAACTGGAAAGCTTGACCTACTTAAAAAAAATGTTACTTTTATTGAGTTAACCCCGATAAACAGACTTGAACCTTCCATAAATTTCCTGATTTGTTAATTATTGACAAATTCAAAGTAATCAGGATAACATCTTTGCGTTCTCCTGGTTTGTTACTGAATCTTTATTATTAATGTGAGTGGTAGTTAGTGGAAAAAAACTATAGAGGTTGAACAGAACAATTAGTATGTCTAACTCAAAGACTAGATATACGTCTGTCTCATTGTTAACCGTATAATCAAATATTAACTGATCATTCGTTATTTGCATTAGGAACATTAGTGAATATAGCAATTTGTAATGTCCCGGTTGTTCTCATCGTTCTTTCGAACTGTCATTGTCTACAAGAGTAACTATTACTCCGGAACAGTTTGTTTTTTACTAATTGTGAAACATTTTTAGAAGAATTGTTTGAAATTGTATTAATTCTTCTCACTTTCATAATTCACACAACACAACCAAATTATTAAGTTTGGTGTCTTAAAACATTTATTTAAGGCTTTGCTGCAGGTTCATTTTGTAGATCATAAAGATAAGAATAAACAATTTTTATTGTTTATCATCGAAACTGCTATCAAATCACATATCCCACCACAGCGTGATTTACAGACATAAATGAATCTCTGAAAAACATTATAAATCCTATAATTTATGCAATCAACTACTTTCAACTATGTATCAGTCCCCATTTATGCATGAACACTTTTTTTTCAAATAACTCGTAATTAATCGACTAGGAATTAGCTTTTTAACATTTTTGAGCCAAATGGCTATAATAACTCCCTTAACAGTTAAGGGGAATTTGAAAATTTCTAAAATAAACTCAGGCATAACGTAGGCATAACGCTGATGGATGAAATGTATTGCCTAAATGATTATTCATCCAAAGGCTGAGTTCATCATTGAAATGCAAGTATGGTGTATCCGAGTGGATAAAAAAAGCTTCATGATCAAACCACCAGCAAAAATAATATTTGGATTTATTTTAATGAAAATATAGAAAATATCATGGATGAGATATCTATATTCCATACCATTTTCACTAAACAATTATTTAATATGTCTATGAAATCTTTCCAAAAAAGAAGTAGATTCAATGGTTTAATTCTTTCTCATTTAGTATTAATACTACATCATTAGATACTACTACATATATATGTGTATGGCACACAAACACACTTTCGACAAAAGATGAGTCATTTAAATACTGTGTATAAACGTGTTGTTTTCTTTTTCACATTTTACACCATACCACATATTTTTTTCTGTTTCTTTAGTATAGTTTGTTTATTTATTTCTATATCATTGATTTTATTTACCCTTTATTTTATCTACAGTACACTACATATCAGATAATTTTTACATATAATCCACTATCATTTAATGGTAATTCAAAAGAAGTGGAATTCTCCATTCCATGGAATGATGATTATTGGCATTTGGGAATATTAATTAAACCCGATCAAGTTAGTTTACGTCAAATTTAGTTGTGTGTTCAACTTGTTTGGCATATATATCAGTAAAAATTAATGCTGTTTATTTTATTTATAATATTCGATATTTATTTATTGCTATTATTAATTGTCTATTTTATTATTGTATTATGAAACAAAATCAAAGTTATAAACAATTCCAACGAATCATTCAGAATTAAATGACGAAACAAGAGTTATGTATGATAAAGTTGAAATTCTAACTGGAATATTTGATGTTATTTTCTATATTTTAAGTTGGTCTGTGTTTAAGTCAAACTAAACTTAAACAGAAAATCATTTCGAGTAAAACTGAAATGTGCAACATAAACTATGCAGTTAATATTATGAATTAAAGGAAAACACAAATGAATCTGTAGTTTATTCATATGAAGTAATATATGACTTGTAAAAATAACTATAGAATACAATTAATCATAAAGACTTTATAAAGAAATCAACAGAACACCATGTCTGTGTTAAAGAATACGTTTGTTTACTTGTTTGTTTTTATTTTAACAACAACTCTGTTTTCTTATGTAAGTCATGAAGTTCTTGTTAAATTTTGAAAAAAAAATGTTTCTTTGAATCAAAATTTACTGACTAATACATTTTAACGTTTTGCATACTTTAGCTGTGAAAATTGTTTTTAACTACAAATAAATGTTTCATGTCATTGTAAACTACAATCTATTTTAGATGGGTGCAAAAATGTCATTTTTAAAGGTGAAACACAATGATGAATTTACTATAGTTATAAAAGACCTGCTTCAAACTACTGCAAATTATAAAGTCATAATTACAGATTATTATGTTTTGTAATTAGAAATATTTACAATATCGTCACTGATATTGAATTAAATCCAGCTGATGAGTCCTTGATAAAAGAAACACTAGTCGTGAATTCAGTTGGTAGTCACAATTCAAAATATCTCATCAATACTACACTTTAAAAAAACATGATTTAAGCTCATTATTATGAACAGCCTTTATAAGAGAAGTGAGCCAAATCGTAGATTCGTGATTACCTAGGATCAATGAATGCAGAATAACTACATAATAATTCATTGTACATTATGTGCATACAAAAGATTCTAATTTCAAAAGATTGTTTTCATCTTGTCAATGATATTGAGTTATACTTTTGCTTTGATGAAGTATCAAGTGTTGATGAGTTGATGGAATACTTGATAGAGATTATTTGCAGCTCAGTTGGATGGTTTTGATGAAGTTGCGTCCTCCAAGCTAGATGGTTTAAATGTGAAACTTTTATTGTTTTTCCAGAAAACATCATCAGTATAAACTTCAGCTCCAAGAACAAAACTTCACAAAAACTTGATAGGTTCATTGAGATAGTTAATCGAAAATTCATTATCGGCTGACTTAAAGGCATTGCAGGTGGAACGACTGGTATAGCTGGCTTTACATTAACAAAAAATATAATACGATTGTATTTATGATTGATACAGTGGACAAATCAAAATTCGTCAAATAAGATGCCTGTGTTATACTAATCAAAAAACCTCCTAATAACAAGTACATGTTACTGGCTAAGAAATGATTTCATTTTCTATGGAGTAGACGTAAAATAAGTGCTTATGCAATTGATTCGGTCAAGTCCAATGAACTTCCTTCTTCATTCTTGGTCTTCTTACTCGATAGCTGGTTGACGGTGTACGTATAGAAAGTTTGTGTATCAGCATCAGTTCTGTACACCGCTTGTTATATAAAAGACATTAAGGAAAAATTGTCCCTTATCAATTATTGCAAATCAATATACCGTTTTCACTGCGACACAAACATATCAATTAAAATTTTGTTAACTATTTACAAGGTTCGTTGTTCAACTCAAATAAACCTCTACTCTACAGGGACCATGTATTAAATGAATCGTTTTGTTGCCAACATTCTTAAAACAGGTGATCATTTCAAACTTGTTCACTTGTATATATTTAATTACTGTTCTAAACAAAACACTAACAGTTCAGATTGAAAAATTTGTTTGGTATAGATAACTTATTTAGTTATTTTTCATGTTCTAATTTAGTAACAGCACAGAAAATGCACACAAAAAGACTTAAATGCTTACCATATAAAATGAAAACTGAGGAAACAGATTACTTTTCAAACAAGCATAAGTTTGGAGGTAGGTTTTTATAAAGCAATCAACTTATTAGATAAACTAATTCAAAAGTCATGAAATATTCTATACAGTGATTTATAAACATTTAATATTATCGGCCTGTAAATTCGAACAGATTACTGCTGGAGGTAATCGTCACTTAAATCAATTTATTTATCTGTGGTTTCTAGTATTATGATTGTGTACATGGTAATGTTTTTTATCGATTAGTAATTAATTTTAACTTTAGTTTCATTGCATTTCTTTTCTTTTCGTTTCTTCTTGTACACACATCCATCTCATTAAAGATTGACTTCTATACATCATGTGAAGAAACTCAAAGGATCGCTTATCATTTTTATCCAATTCAAGGTTTACTAGGTGAACCATTATTCCGTAAAGGTGCAACATTTTATGCACTTAATAGTGGCTTAAAGAATGCATCTGAATATTTTGAGGTAAATTCCCCAAATCATTATAGTTTTTGTTTAATTTCCTTTATTTATTTGTGTTTTTACTTCAAATTTTAATTTACTATGCAACAATTTCTTCACTTGTAGGCAACAGAAACAAATCTTCCTTTTTAAAAGAGTGTAGGTTTTGTAATTATAATTCATTTATAGGTAAATAAATATGGAAGCCACATGTATAAGTGATTGTGTTGTACTAGTCTAACGAGGGATTCAGACTTATACTATTGTTTTAGAGGGTAATTAACAAAGAAAGCGAAACACTAACATCAATAATGACTCTTATTTAACATTTCCTTATCAAAACTAGAGCTCTTTTAGAGTGTATCGTAGTCTAGACTTTTAAATCTAGAAAAAAAACAATAAACACTACTTTAAATCAAATGTACAACCTGACTACCTCAATCACTTTAAGATCTAAATTAAGATAGTATACGGACATGTTTTTATAAGAGTGAACTTTTAATCGTAGGTCACAAAATTTATTATAAAGTGCATTTTATTATTTTATACACCATGAGTATTTTTCAAGGTAAGTTCCGAAGTATAAACAAATCGTTACACAACCACTAATGTATTGTCCATTTGAATTTGAAAAGGATACATTTGAATACAAAATAAACTTGTTCTGTAACCGAACTTAATTAAATAACTAAACATTTACATGTTGCGGCTAATAATTACAATACATTAAACAACTATTCACTTAACTATGATTGTATGATGTTAATTTTAAAATGGATATTTGTTTATTTCCGACAACTTTTTATGAAACGGTGCATCATGTAAAAGTCAAGCTAGTCATATCCACAAAATGAGGTTTGATTAGTAGATTTATACAGTAAATGTAGTAAATATTTGTAATTGTACTTATCAGCGCAACTATACTGGATAGAACTTAACTTACTATTGAAAATCCATATTAGCAAATCAATAATTAGATATAAGCGACTTTATTTTCAACAATCGCAACATAATATTTGTTGCATTAATATTATTAAAAAAGGTAGTCATATGTTTATATGATACGTGATTAAGATATAACTTGTTCAAAGTATATACATTAATTAACTGTTGTTTATTCCCATTTAATCATCAATTTTGTAATTGTTGTGTTTTCTCTTACAGGGTTATTTAAAAGCTTTCAGTTTTCATTCAGATGAAAATGCTCTCCGATATATGTGTACCAAATCGGAAGTAAGGTTCTTTTGTTTGTTTTTCCTCTTCATAAATATTTACTAATTCTAGAGAGATTAATAAGTTTACAGTTACATTTTGATGTCAGAATATTGTCTGTATATGATATTTTTAGCTTTATAATTTATGCTCTATTTAAACTAAATGTAATTTACTGAGTAATTATTTCATTGTAATATTATGAGTCAATTAATTGTCTATCAGAGATACTACACGAATAATTATTAGTAAAATATGAGATTGATATAATTTGCTATAATGCATAAATTGGTTACTTTGTTCACATTAGGGAAAAATATCACATTAAACTTGTATGGTTACAACTTCTTTCAAAGAATAAGTAAACTATGACTCTACAGATAGTTTTGTTAGTAGGAATTTCAAATCCTAAAGTGTAATAAAATTGCAGGTACACAACTGTATAAGAAATACAACATTTTCGTTTGAAAACATAGTAATGTAACCCAACATATACCAATATGTATCGTTGCTAAGACGTTTCATTTAATGTAAAACTCACTATGAATAATATTTTAAGTAAATTCACTGCATCAATACAACCTGAATAAAGAATATTTTAGAGCTGTAACTTGTTTACCTTCAAATTTCAAATCAAACACTTCTTTAACAAGATGAGTGAAGTGAGTACCGAACTAAACAAAGGTGGTTTCTATTATGTGTAATTAGCTGCAATATTACTACATATAGGATATAAGTACAATTTTAAATTTTCCAGTTTAACCATAAGGAAATCAAAGATAATAACATTGTATTCTTACACAGAAATAATACATGTAATTATATAATACGAAAACCAATACGCTATTTGTATGATTCATATTGAATTATATTTAGATTGTGGGTAGCAGTGAAATCTTTTACTCGTGTCTCGTTCTATTTAGGACTTATAATCTGAATGTACCTGAATCTTAGTTCTAATGTTATTAGGACTTCAGTCTAGTATCAACTTCAAATGTCAACAGTTAATTTTATAAGTTACTGATTCCAGGCAGCTACTAACCTGTCTAACGGGTATAAGGTCATTTATAAGACTTGTATTCAACCGGTATTACTACTCAAGAAATAATAGAAATCTGTTCGATTAGACTAACACATTACATGTTTCAGTATGCTTGTCATATTTATGGGAATTAAATAAAATTATTTAATAAAACTTACCAAGAATCTTGATGAAACGGCTTACCTTATATTTTTACTACGTAAAAAAAAACTAATTGTCATCATATATTTCTTCTGAATTATAAACCTTTTGCACTATAAATATGACGTACATGATGTAGTCACATTCAAAGTATTATAGTTTGATGCATGAAAGTTATATAGTTAACTGATCAATAAGGTTTGGAACATAGAAAATTAACAGACCTAAAGATTTTTTTCAGCAACCTAGTGAAAAGGGTTAACTTCATTTTAATGTTGTAATTTTTATGAAGTATAATTATGAAAAACTGTAAGAAATCTATGTACACAATATTGCATAAGAGTATATATGAAAACGATAGGACCCATCAATTGACTTGAAAATGAAGCACTGAATAGTAAGTAGGTAACTTTAGAACAAAAACGTGAGTGCCCTTAAAGGTGAAGATACATTAAATTCTTAATATGTATCCAGATTATTTATGATAAATCTCCTAATTAAACGCTAGATTCTGTTACTTAAGCTCTTCTAGTAAATTCCAGGTTAAATCTTTACAGCAACCTGAACACGAGAGATGAGGCACAAAATATGGAAAGAATGCTTTACTCCAAGGTTCATTTATATACAGAAAATTTAAGGTATTTATAGCATTTTAGACGGCTTTGTGCTTCTGAAAATTTCTGGAACACCGCTACATATAGTAGCAGCATAGGTGACATGTGACTTTTCACTTTCTAGATGTTTCTGGTAAGGCGTCTGTTGAATGCTAATTGGATAAGATGTTTCTCAGTTTTCAGGGCCCTTTTTGGATTCTTTCGAAGAATTTTCCGAGTCTCCCCAACAATTTAGTTATTAATTCGTAAAATTAAATCAAATCATTGAAGTCCTAAAATTTATTTACTCAGTTCTTACCTTTCACACCTTTCACTGATTTGAAAAGAGCATTGACTTTGTGGCATATCTAGCGTAAATTAATAAAAACACTAAATCTACAATTACCATGTTTTATTTTTTTGATTACATTGTCACCTGTAGGAAAGTACTATCATAAGTTAACCACATAGCACTGAAATATAAAGAACTACACTGAACAATCAGCTTGTACGTAATTGTAAAATGTCTCAAATTCAAGATTCTATTCATTAGGACATTACTAACATACTATTATCTTATTATTAGAAACAATTACTATTTATTTAGGAGTTTATAAGACATATTTATACAACAAAGAATGTGCACCTCACTCAATGAGAGTGAAACTTTATGAAATATTGAAAGAATTTTATATTATTTTTATTACTCTACATAACTAAATAATTAATTGGGAAAATTTTAATATTGATTAGTATTGGTTATCAAATTTCAGTCATCATTTCACCATCTATTTTAGAATTATGAAGGAAGTGGTGATGCAGATCGTTTCAAATATGATCCCGAATTCGGAAATATATTAATTGTAAGTTCTCAAGGGAGCATATTTTTTGGTAAATTCATATAGCGTGTCCTGTATATATATCGTAACATTATTGGGTGTGGCACTTTTAATGTCATAGGAAGATGAATTTCCAGCTAATTTCAACTCAGAAAAAATATGATCTTTAGACTTAACAAATCTATACATACTATGAAATAAATAATTAACATCTTGCATTTAATAAGGGATTTACATTCGTTAGAACAATACAGAGATATTTACTAAAAACTACATTGTCAAAATTAATCTTATCGCAGTTACAAATACAACCTTAATTATCGATCAACAACTGCCACGTTTATCCGTTTTTTGAATACAAATCATGCAAGTATTAAAATGACATTATTTGTAATAAATTTATTAAACACAATTAACCTTATCCATTACATGTCCATTAAGTGTAGCCTACTAACTATATATATATATATATGTTTGTATACAGTGACTGAACTAGATGGAAACGGTAGTTATACGTGACCGGAAATATGTATTCCTAATCAATAATGTAAGGCGATTGACAGCATTTTGACGAATACAAATTATCACTTTTAAGCTAGTTAGTTATGTTGTCAAATTTTTTTTCTCCAATCCTACTACTTATTAGAACCATTTGCAAACGATACACATCGTAATCAATGTAACATTGACACATGAATTCATGGAAGGAAAAGCACGAAGGTTTTCTCAGACTATATAATTTTTGAGCGCCTTTTCAATAGGATGACATGCTCAATAATAATTGATTACGATTAAATGAACTATAGTAGTTTAACTAATGAGAATAGCTTAAACAACAAAGGGATAACTGAATCAGTGGCTTAGCTTCGTTAATCAATCACCTTGGTAACCGTTAGCATATAAATCCCCAACGGTATTTGAATTCAGAAGGCGATAAGAAGTGGCGACTACTGCTTATTAGCATATAGAACAAATAACAAAGTTACAAGCGCATCGGGCGAATTGGAGTAAAGAGGCCAATGTCTATGCGAGCGAATACACAGGCCAATTTATAGTTAAATCTAATCAAGGCGCAGTGAGGCAAGGCAATTAGTAAGATTCAAGCGTAAACGTTGACAAAGAAATCGACAAATTTTTAATGTTCGAATAACACTGTCTGTTAAATAAGTCAATAATAGCTTTCGACAAAGTTAACCACAAACAAAAGTGATTGTAAGAGAGTTGCAATAAGTCGAAGAGAAAAGCAAAGTAAGGGATCCGATTCAATATCTTGGATTCCTCAATTAATCCTCATTGTAAAGATAATATAAATAAAGTAAATTGGCTTTGTATTATGCCATTGTCTCTGATAACTTAACTAAAAAGTCATTCATTCAAAGAATGTGATATTTGACAGTAAAGTTATATCACAAAAATAAACTTCAAAATCTATCCAACTAAATCAACTGATTTCAAAGAGGAAATATTTACTAAATAAATCATTAAAAAAGGTAGATAATTTCAACTGAATGTTTACAGAAAATAAATCAGAGCCATTTGTATAATATTGAACATCTTCAATTGAATATAAAATTTGCTCTAGTAGTTACAAATTGAATGATAGCAACAACAAAATTTTTATCAGTAAACACTTAACTACTGAAGAGTTTGAGAGTTAATGTTTCACATCAAAAAATCACTTATTTATATCTTAAAGCCAGTTAATATAAATTAATTAATGAATAAATTAGTGATCCCTTCAGATAATTCTTTTTTAATTATACTATTATTCTATTAATTTTTTAAAAAAAAATAGCATTTATTACAAATTATAACAAGTGACTTTGTTTAATTATGTCAAATGAACCAAATGGTCAACAACAACAAATTATTATTATTTTATATTAAAACTATTTTTAATTTGATAATTGAATTAATTCTAGTTACAATTTATTGTTATTTCTGATTTAAAAATAAACTTCAATAATTAATCACTTGCTCCAAAAATAATTAATATATCACATTGATATAGATATAAATATAGATATAGATATTTGCTTACATCTATGAAAGTAAATATTTGAGATGGTGAAGATTTGTAGCTCAGGTGGATGATTTTCTTGGTGGAGTTTTGTTCTCGTTACAAAGATTTTACAGTGTTAAATTTGACAAATATTAGAAATACCAACAATAAATATTAGATATACACCTTAAAGAAATGAAAAGGTTAAATTATTGAATTTCTTCTATGTAAATTAATTTTGATCCTATAGTCTAGAAATTACACTGAGGAATGTATAACCATAAATAATCGACTTGTAACACAAAACTTACTTTACACTGTTTAAATTTTGATCAACTTGTCAACGTGCGTTAAAACAGTTGTTGATTTTGAATAATGGATTGAAGTAAAAACAAGTAGATTCTTTTCATATTTGTTAAAGTTTGTTAGCTGATTGTATCTGAATCCGAATGTTGATATTTTATTCCAATGACTATCGCTTTAAAATTTATAGCTTTATTCATTAGTTACCAAGTCATAAAACTCGCCACTTATTCATTATATTCAGTTATTGATGTAAAAAAAGAGACTAAATCTGGTGGCCTTCAGCCAACCACTATGAAAACTGTAAAATCGAACGTAACTTCACCTATTTTGATTCATACTAAATATTGACTATTGAATAAAGAATTCGCACACGTATCAATGATATGGTAAATGGCCTATATTCAATGACTTCCGTATAAATCAACTGTTGCCTATTTAAAAATCTTGTAATATATAAGATGTAAGAGAAATTTGGTTACAAAAACAGATGTGTTTAAAAGGAAACATACTTTATGACTGGATCTACGCTTGATTTATTATAAAATGTTTTGAATTAAAACTGATTTAGTTTGTCTTAGCAACAGAAACACTTTGAATATCTTGCTGATTAAAAATGAAAAAGAAAAATTTCAGAAAAGTTTTGAAGTACACAAACACGGGAAATCGATGATAAATTTAAATTTAACGACTACTTATAAGCTTGATAACAAGTTTATGGGTGAATGAGATGTTTCTCGTTCAGCCAGCTATTAATGTGTAAACAATTATAGTGTTTCATCATATTAAAAGTTTAGCTAATTTTGCATGGTGAGTCATAATACGCTTCTACAACCTCCACTTGTATCAATTAATAAATCAAGTGAAAAGGATTATTAACTTTAATGATTATTAATTTTTAATTTGGATATTTTCCTCATAACAAAGAAACTACCATTCACACAGTAGTTGAATGTCATGAAGTACTGAAAAAATCTTTCACTTTTTTGTGGTGTCTCAGAATTGTATGCACGCATAATTCATTTCACTGGGAAATTCTTTATAATCAGAATGGGGGTTTGTGGAGAATGTAGTAATTTTAACAGTTGAATTCATAAGCTGATTAAAGCTAGATCACTATAGAAAACCTGGAAGCACTGGACAGCCGTTTCATCTTAGTATGGGACCCCTCATCAGTGAGCATCCATGATCCCACATGCGAGACTCAAACACAAGACCTTAGGTCTCGCGCGCGAACACTTAACCTCTAGACTACTGAGCCGGCATCCAATAGTGTTAATGTCTAATTTCAATCGATCCATGATTTTGAACAACTATTCCTCTACTGTTTGAGGTAGATACCTGTTTCTACCCAACACGGGCTGAACTATTGATCACGGCTTCTCACTAGAACTGCAGGCAGCCAGTCAAAAGTGAGCACATGATGATTATGATCAGTGCTTCCAGGTTTTCAATGATCGTTTAGCTTAGATCGACTCATGAATTCAACTGTTAAGATCCATTACACTCACATCCTTTGATGAAGCCTTTTGACTCAAGCAGTTCACATGTCTAGTCACATCCAACTCGCAATATACTCCATCTTTCTAATGTGACTGAGAAACAGGTGATCCACCTCAATACATTCATACATTTTCCTCTCTATTCAACAATAATATATATTAAAAGTTAGTAAACTGAAAAATTAATCTGTTTTTTTCAACGGACTAAAATAAATGTCAACTACTGAGAAATTTCCATCCAATCCTTTTTCAGTCAACTGACTGTATACAACGTAGGTCTCTTATGCAATTGTGTCTAAGCTGACACATCACAGAATAGTACAGTGACAAAATTACCAAGACAAAAGTAGGAAAAGAAACAAAATTAAGTCGAATGTAAGGCTAAGATTGATAAACATATTTTTTGAATCCATATTGAGATTTTGTCTGCCAAGAGGCTAGCAAGGCTTATGAAAATTTCAAGATGAAGAACAATGATTGACATACTCAACAACTTGACATGAATCGTTTACACCTTAGTCTGTATTGCATGTTTGATTGTATATTATCTTATAATAGAATTAGCACTCACTTAATCCACAAATCATCAGTTCATTACTAACATATAATAAACCTTTATCTTGTAGTGAATCGTGTATATCAACAGATTCATAGTGATATTTCGTAAACTATTATTTATACATAAATTTAGCTGGCCAATGTTTGTAATTAGTAATGATGAAAATGACAGTTTAGTATATTGAGTAGATGAAAATTAATATCTTTTGACTGTGCGTGTGTAAGTTAATAGTGTTCTGTTCTGGTTATAACATACACAACAGAACGGTAAGGTCATCAAAATATACACAATTATATTCTTTTCTTGACATGTAAAACATAACAGTTTTGTTTCTATTTGTTTATTTAATACAGACTAGCTCAATACAAGACGATGAAGAGGTAAGTTCTAAAAAATTCATATAAAGCAAACAAATAATATAACACCCAATAGTTTTTGACACAGTTGAGATCTGTAGTTAAAACGGATTATTTTGTAGTTAATGGGGATGTCTCTGTTGAATAAATTAATTGTGAAGATCTATTTCGGTCTTTCCAAACACCATCAACACCATAAACTCTAAAACAAATCAGCTGGTAGAATTTCTTAAGCTTGGGTTGATTATGGTGGGTGGGAGGAAAATGAAACCTTTACAGTTGAATCGCTTAACTGAGTAAACAAAACATTATTAAATTTAACAGATTATTTATTTCTGAAAAGATACAAAAATTACGATGAGACTATAATTTGTGGACGACCTTTGAGCAACAGTGAAGTAATCTTGAGGATGTTCACCCACTTACTAGGGCCAAATGAGGGTTATAAACTTGTGCAAAGAATAAGCATTATGATTTACAGTTGATGGTTAGGATTAAGAATTATATTCAGGGTTTTCATCACAAACGCTATTTAGCCAAATGGATGAATGAATTTCGCACTAAAATCCAAGATCTTTTATCCTAAACCTGATTGATCCGTCCATAAACTATAGTCTCACCCTAATAACAACCGATTAAAACTCGAACTGGGTAAAATATTTGTTTCTCTATTCATAGTATATTCAATTGATAGTATTGTTCAACAATTAACAAATTCTGAAGCTCATTACTAGCTGAACGTCTTCAAACTCAAGGACGTTTTTTACTTTAGCTCAGATTTGGTCTAATGTCACTTAAAAATGCAACTTATTAATGAGGAGTTTCTAAATTTCATTTTCTTCAATTCTAGTGATATTTTATTTAACTATTAGGTATGTAAAAATAATGTCTTAATATAAAGCATAGTTCAAATTGGGTAACACATTATTTAAACCTAATGTGTACCTTTACATCAGTCTAATTAATATATATATATATATATATATATATATATATATATATATATATATATATATATATATATATATATATATATATATATATATATATAAACTAGCAATCATGTAAGGATCATGAGTTCGAATTCCCTAATATGACCTTTAACTGAACATCCACTGTTTATTCCATTTCACATAAATAACATTAAATCTAATCAAATGGAATGTCGATTAACTTTCCTAAATGTGAACGAGTGGATTGTAGAAAAACTGACTGATTCAATATTGATACCATAGTAAATCTAAAAATCATTTAGTTTCAGTGTTCAGAATTTCTCGAATACACCTTGCAGCTAACGGTACCGCTACAAGTTCAGGATTTACTTAAAACTTCATAGAGTGCGAAAATAGAAACATTTATTTAATACTTTTAAAATTACTAATTCCCTTCCATTTACTGAATTAAAAGACAGTGTGTATTTTAGTGGAGTAGGAGGATTAGTAGTTATAAAGCTTGGTTTTTAATCAATAGACCAACATTTCATTCCTGCTTTACCCAATTAAATTAAGACAGTTCATCAGTGCTGACTAACCATCACAGAAGCGGCTGGACTCAAAGTTTCGTTCATTAATACATACTTGGTTAATGAGTTACATTAAATAATTAGTGTATTTTAATGCTAAAACCAGTAACTCTATAACCCTGAAGAGTACTTATATACACACAAACTCCTCAGTCCTAGATGTTAGATGTTTTCATAATATAGCCTTCTGTTTCAGTAGGAATCGCTATTGATTTGATTAGGTGATAAAAACTCGTTATCAAGTGAATATTTGGTCAAATGAAAAGGAGAAATTGTACTCTCTAATATTAATGCAGCAAAACTGACTATTTACCGATGATCAACTTATGACTTTTATGTAATTAAATTGTTTATCGTGAGTTAGTTTGTCCAAGACTAATTTGTCAATATTTTGCTAATGAATTAGATAAATAAGTGGGTTTTGTAGTTATTGCTAATACATAACGAATTCGTTCAAGGAGAACATATTCCAACAGAGACCGATCTAATTCGGCCGTGAATTTAGACAAAGGGAAAATATGAACTCTTTTGACCAGCAATACACATCAAACCCATTTAGAAAGTTTGTAGACATCTTGACTCAGTAGCCTAATGTGTAACCAATGAGTGTTGCAAGCCATAGGTACCGTGGTCATAGGCTTATTTTCAACATTAAAATAAGTATCCACTTACATTAATCTGATTAATTTTAGATAAAACTAGACTTAAGTTCTGTGTTCCACTGATCATCGCTATCAAGAAGTAAAATGAAATTTCTACTATAGGTTGATAAAAACCAATCACTGAAAACATCCTCATTTCAGGTATTCAAGGTCTAAAACTTGATATAAGATAATAATAAAATATCATAAACAAAACAATAGAGCTTTCCAGATTTCAGAATGATCCAATTTTACATGTATTTATTGAGAATTCTATAAAATGACGATAATTGTTTGTTTTTAAATTGAGAATTTTAACCTAAAAATAAATTATTAATAAGCTCGAAATACCTATATCTGGAAAAAGACAAAAATGTGTAAAACATTTCAATCAGAATGCTTTTGACTTTCATAAATTCCAGGGTATGTAATTGCAACGAGAAAAAAAAACAATAAATGAGCTTCGAATTCTTATTCACCGTGTAAACAGAGAGAACTGAGAGATTTTGTACTAAAAATATAACGAGATAAATCAGTCAAAAACGATATACCATGAAATTAAAATAGCTGATAGATATTATCATAAAACAATACACGGTAATAGGAAAAGTAGAACAAGTAACGCAAGTAAGCGTAAATGGTGAAAAACGTAGGAAAAAACACTTAATTCCCTTCTCGATAAATACTTCCTATTTTAGAAGGAGATTACAATAGACAATGAAGATTATGAAAGCGGAAAACAAGAGAATAAAGAGAAAATTACAACAGAAACAGACAACAAAGAAATGGTAACGACCGAGAAAACTGACATAAAGCTGAGAACGGAATATAAATATAGATATATAATGAAAGACCCAGGAACAGGAGGTCTAGTCGACATACAAGACATGAAGGAAAATGTCGTTATAAACGGAGCTATAAAACTAACAGATGAATTAGCCATTCTACCAAACGGAGATATTGTAGCAACGAAGCCGCTCATTGAAAACCAACGTTTCATCATAGCCGAAAATATAAGTCAAATAAGTGACAGAAATGTTTATGGAACCCACAGCGGAGAAATGATCGTAGGAGCAGAAGTAGATGACAATGGAATAATACATTTACCCGATTCGACACTTGCAATAACAGTTTCACTCGACAAGGATCGATATGTTATATTGAAAAATAATAAAACACAGAGAGAATCAATATTTGACCGTCGCCTCGGAACAGAACTAGTAAATGCCACGCTCCACCATAATGGAATGATCAAATTAGCCACTGGACAGTTCGTAGCTCCCTCCTCTCAAGAAGGCTATAAATACATGGTAGTCACAAATGAAGACGACCAAACCCTTCTAGTTTACGATCGTTTCACAGGAGAACAGATCAAGGGTGCACAGGTTGATCCCAATGGTCTGATTCAGTTTGAAGATGGACGCATGGCCATCGAGCCATCATCCAAACTAGATAGATATGTTATAATGACGGACCCAAACAACGGTGAAAAACTAGTTTTCGACAGACGAACAGGTAGTCATATCAAGGATGCTGTGTACAGTGAAGATGGGTTGATTCGCTTTCCAGACGGTAGGCGCGTTGCACCAGGTTCCACTGATAACAGCTCACAGTATCTAATTCACTTCGACCCTACAACGAAGGAGAACTTGGTTTTTGACAGACATACTGGGGAACAAGTCGAGGGTGCCTCAGTAGACTCACGAGGTTTCATACTTCTTCCCGATGGTAAATTGCATCTAGATCAGAATCAAGTAAAGCATAGGTACATTGTCCTACAGGAGACAACCGATAATACCACATTCGTAGTCGACACTAAATCAGGCCAGAAAATTGATGGAGCAGTTGTTTTGGACAATGGTCTCGTCAAGCTACCCGATGGAAATCTGGTTGCACCCAGCTCAAACACAAGCGCAAATTACATGGTGGTCGAATTGACTGAGGGTGAAGAGAGCCCAGTAGTATTCGATCGCAGGACAGGTGAGCAAATCCCAGATGCTTACCTAGACAAGGATGGTATCATACATTTGCCGGATGGAAGTTTGGCTATCTCGGCATCAGAAACTATGGATCGCTACCTTGTGGCACAAGATAACCTGACAGGAGACCCTGTGATGTTTGATCGTCGCCTCGGAACAGAACTAGTAAATGCCACGCTCCACCATAATGGAATGATCAAATTAGCCACTGGACAGTTCGTAGCTCCCTCCTCTCAAGAAGGCTATAAATACATGGTAGTCACAAATGAAGACGACCAAACCCTTCTAGTTTACGATCGTTTCACAGGAGAACAGATCAAGGGTGCACAGGTTGATCCCAATGGTCTGATTCAGTTTGAAGATGGACGCATGGCCATCGAGCCATCATCCAAACTAGATAGATATGTTATAATGACGGACCCAAACAACGGTGAAAAACTAGTTTTCGACAGACGAACAGGTAGTCATATCAAGGATGCTGTGTACAGTGAAGATGGGTTGATTCGCTTTCCAGACGGTAGGCGCGTTGCACCAGGTTCCACTGATAACAGCTCACAGTATCTAATTCACTTCGACCCTACAACGAAGGAGAACTTGGTTTTTGACAGACATACTGGGGAACAAGTCGAGGGTGCCTCAGTAGACTCACGAGGTTTCATACTTCTTCCCGATGGTAAATTGCATCTAGATCAGAATCAAGTAAAGCATAGGTACATTGTCCTACAGGAGACAACCGATAATACCACATTCGTAGTCGACACTAAATCAGGCCAGAAAATTGATGGAGCAGTTGTTTTGGACAATGGTCTCGTCAAGCTACCCGATGGAAATCTGGTTGCACCCAGCTCAAACACAAGCGCAAATTACATGGTGGTCGAATTGACTGAGGGTGAAGAGAGCCCAGTAGTATTCGATCGCAGGACAGGTGAGCAAATCCCAGATGCTTACCTAGACAAGGATGGTATCATACATTTGCCGGATGGAAGTTTGGCTATCTCGGCATCAGAAACTATGGATCGCTACCTTGTGGCACAAGATAACCTGACAGGAGACCCTGTGATGTTTGATCGTCGCCTCGGAACAGAACTAGTAAATGCCACGCTCCACCATAATGGAATGATCAAATTAGCCACTGGACAGTTCGTAGCTCCCTCCTCTCAAGAAGGCTATAAATACATGGTAGTCACAAATGAAGACGACCAAACCCTTCTAGTTTACGATCGTTTCACAGGAGAACAGATCAAGGGTGCACAGGTTGATCCCAATGGTCTGATTCAGTTTGAAGATGGACGCATGGCCATCGAGCCATCATCCAAACTAGATAGATATGTTATAATGACGGACCCAAACAACGGTGAAAAACTAGTTTTCGACAGACGAACAGGTAGTCATATCAAGGATGCTGTGTACAGTGAAGATGGGTTGATTCGCTTTCCAGACGGTAGGCGCGTTGCACCAGGTTCCACTGATAACAGCTCACAGTATCTAATTCACTTCGACCCTACAACGAAGGAGAACTTGGTTTTTGACAGACATACTGGGGAACAAGTCGAGGGTGCCTCAGTAGACTCACGAGGTTTCATACTTCTTCCCGATGGTAAATTGCATCTAGATCAGAATCAAGTAAAGCATAGGTACATTGTCCTACAGGAGACAACCGATAATACCACATTCGTAGTCGACACTAAATCAGGCCAGAAAATTGATGGAGCAGTTGTTTTGGACAATGGTCTCGTCAAGCTACCCGATGGAAATCTGGTTGCACCCAGCTCAAACACAAGCGCAAATTACATGGTGGTCGAATTGACTGAGGGTGAAGAGAGCCCAGTAGTATTCGATCGCAGGACAGGTGAGCAAATCCCAGATGCTTACCTAGACAAGGATGGTATCATACATTTGCCGGATGGAAGTTTGGCTATCTCGGCATCAGAAACTATGGATCGCTACCTTGTGGCACAAGATAACCTGACAGGAGACCCTGTGATGTTTGATCGTCGCCTCGGAACAGAACTAGTAAATGCCACGCTCCACCATAATGGAATGATCAAATTAGCCACTGGACAGTTCGTAGCTCCCTCCTCTCAAGAAGGCTATAAATACATGGTAGTCACAAATGAAGACGACCAAACCCTTCTAGTTTACGATCGTTTCACAGGAGAACAGATCAAGGGTGCACAGGTTGATCCCAATGGTCTGATTCAGTTTGAAGATGGACGCATGGCCATCGAGCCATCATCCAAACTAGATAGATATGTTATAATGACGGACCCAAACAACGGTGAAAAACTAGTTTTCGACAGACGAACAGGTAGTCATATCAAGGATGCTGTGTACAGTGAAGATGGGTTGATTCGCTTTCCAGACGGTAGGCGCGTTGCACCAGGTTCCACTGATAACAGCTCACAGTATCTAATTCACTTCGACCCTACAACGAAGGAGAACTTGGTTTTTGACAGACATACTGGCGAGCAAGTTGAGGGTGCTTATGTGGATGAATTGAATATGATACATCTTCCTGACGGTGATTTATTTCTTCAGCCTGATGTTTTATATCCTCGCTACATGTCACTTTCTCGCAGCGGTGATAATTATCCCGTGGTTTTGGATTCTTCCACTGGTGAAATTTTGAACGCATCGTTCTTAGGTGGTTCTCTTTTCCGTGTAAATGGTGGTGGAGTAATCGCAGTCGGCAACTTATCAGGTGGTCGTTTCGTTGTTTATGATGGTGTTGATGTTTCCGTTCCACGTATTTACGACACGTTGCTGGGTCACGCTGTACCAGGAGCTGTTCTTCGGCCTGATGGTTGGATTGAGTTTACGGATGGCCTAGTCTTTCCTGTGCTTTCTTCTGTTCCTGTCGGTCAGCGCTATTTTGTTTTTCGTAATTCATCCTCAGGGCAGGAAATTGTTTATGATGCTATATTAGGTTCAGCTGTTTCGGATTCATTTGTTGACGAAAACGGTCTCATTCATTTAACAAACGGATCAATTTTTAGTCCAATCACTTATAATCACACTTCTTTTTTGTTCAACGATCTTTCGGAACCTGCTTATTCATCAACACTTCGTGAACGTAAAAATGCTTCTCTATATCATATTGTCTCATTGAATTCGACTACTAAAATGGTTAGTTATTTAAAACCACTGATTTACAATGTCTGTAAACTAAACTGTACGCACTTGGTTATATAGCTTACACTAATCATTTTTAAAACGCTTATCATAGAAATGCTAATATATCTATGCTAATGACCATGTTTCTTAACTGCATATTTCATCAGTTTTGTTTATTGTTTTTCATTGTGATTGAATTATTTTTTAACCTATTACCAACTACCATTTCAATGTCATAAAAATGTGCTTCCTAAATTATCTACTCACTATGTTCATCACTTCAAAACTTAGTAAAGTTTTCACTAAATGATCATAAATCTTACGCTTTCAACTCACCTCAGTAACTAAACTTTCAGTCATTGTAAACTAAACCTATTTTTATTAGTTCAATGGAATCGTCTGCGTACATCACTTCTGTAAATATAAACATAGCTTAGAAATTTTTGTGTAATAGTATACATTTAACTATCTGCAAATTTTCCGATTATTTGATATGCAAACACATTTGCATGATGCTTGTTAATAAATTAAATCCTTTCATTTGTATCTTTGCTACATATGCACATTTGAAATTTATATTCACAATTAAAAATGTTTCTTTTTTTCTGAGGTTATGCTGCACCCATAATTGAATAAGATGGAAATATATATCAAATTATTTTAGGGTATTTAACGCATAATAAACTCTTTTCTCCCTTATTCTTACAGCAACCTGAAGAAATGGATTTAATTTCTACTGGTAAGTTCTGCATTTATGTTTTGAATTTCAAAAAATTTCCCGGACATCAGTTGATTAAGCTGGTAATCATGATCAGTTAGGTCTCATTTAGGATCCCTGCTGAAACACCAAGATCACAATACCATGTGCTATATTGATATCACTCTTAACTCAGTAATTCGAACTAAAGGATTACGTTGGTTACCACTCGTTCACTATACTATGCACAATTCAATTGTTGACTTTCCATTAAAAAAGTATTTAGAATAGTTTTATTAGCAAACTAATATAAGCTAAACTACAGACCAATTCTAATTAAAACCCTCAGACAAAATTTAGTCGTCAGTAGAAGGTTACTAACCAGATGTGAATAATGTAGAGCTTTCAACTGGTTGACAAGAAGTCAGGAAAATGTATTTCTAAGTGATTTTTTAGTCAAACACAGAATCTCTTTATTTTAGTACAGTTGATAATAGTATGCGATTTCAAGCTCTTACAAGAATTACTTTATTTCAGCATGTAAATGACTATTAACTGATACATTCTAAGTGACTTTAAAATGTCATCCAATGTAATTACCAAGTATTAAATACAGTGACAGTTACATACCTACACAATAATGTCATGCTAAATGAATAGTAAACATTAAAAGTTTAAATAAAATCACTAAAATAACAATTTTCTCCAGAATAGTTTAGTTTCTAAACGTTTATACACAAACTTATGGAAACTTATATGGTACATTAAACTGTTACTTGAAGATTACCTCAAAAGTTAGTCTTTACAATTAGTATAAGACAGAATGTGATTGCAAGATAATATGGAAACGAAATTCCTCTAGCTTTGAAAAGCATCGATAATTTATCCAAAATAAAGTAGAATTTAAGGATACCTTAAAGACTGGAATATTCATGCTACGAAAATCTCAGAGCTATAAAATCTCTATGGGAAATAGTTAACATTAAAAATGTGGCCGTTGTATGTAATAGATCATATTGGAAAAGAAGCAAATATTAAAATAATGAATTCAGTGGCATAAAATACTTGAAACCGGTGATCCTTTAAGACATAAAACATAAGTTATACACAGAGATACTAAAAAGAAACTACTTTACACTTAAAAGTTTGTTGGAAATGAGTGAATAAATAGAATCCTAAGCTTTCGTTAAGCTCATTAGTTGTTAATATATCTTACCGTCCATAAATTACAGTTAATTTTTTATATACCCGCTACTAAGTTTTGTACCATAAATGACCTAATTATGTATAGGTTGAAATTTATTATTTCTGTTGCATTTCGGTCATGTATCAGATTTAAACAATCATGTACGTTTATGTTTAATAATACAAAGTAAACAGGGCTAGTTTTTCTAATATTCTGAGTGAATATTAGTGATACAAGAATTTATTTAGACCAATCAGAGTTAGCTATGGTCATTTGCATCATTCGTTTTCAAAACAAAATCAATCAGTTTACAAAATTATCACCCATAATTTAGTTTACAATTAAGAAAATGGGGAAACAGAACACTGAAAAGTCTGGTTTGATTAAAAATTATTGATGATCCAACTAAGATTTATGACGCTAGGACAAATTAAGAAAGTAATGACAAACGATATACAAGGTAGATTCAAATTTGAAAATGACGATCATAGTCGGTTACTCAATACTCTGACTTATAAGATAACGCTTAATCTATCAGTCTAAAAACCGCTAATGGAGCGAACAAATTGCTCCTATGTGATATAAGTTATAGCTCTTTTGTCATTACCAGGGGAATTAACTTGAACGTGAAACGTAAAGATCCTGGCAGTAAATGTTCAATGATTAGATTTCGCAATGCTATCACAGCAAGTAAATGCAATTAGTTAACTTGCATAAAACACAACAGCGTTTATAGATGTATATCTTAAAGAAATTCTAAATGATAAGTTGTTTGGACAGTTTGTGATGTGATTGATTTCTTGTCACAATTTTGTTTGTCATTCTCCTGTAACTAACTTTTGGTAATTAAGTAAAATTTGGGATACTTGGTTTCAATTTACCTGAACGAAGATTCCTACATAACTGATTCGGGAGTATGTGATTTGACAAACAAGATTTATGAAAACCCAGTTTCACTCGTTCCGATATAATTTTGCACTTGAGGTTAACAAGTTCATCTAACCTTTTAGTAATTTGTGTAAGGAGTCTTTTTTTCAGAAATCTAAAACAATTAGTCCCTTTGATAAATTTCGATAATGCTATTAGAAGACGAAAGTTATCTTTGCTACGGCTTACCTTAAACCTGTCTAGTTGATCTTTTAGTTTTCATATAAAAATGTCTTAACAAGTGTATGTGTGATCAGATTGTTCGAAATCTATTGTGCAAATATATCACATAATTCTGATAACCTTCGTCTTCTTATTGCATTATCGAAGTTAAGTAAAAGTCGATACAATCTTTTAATGAACTAATAATTGTTTTTTGACCCTTTTCATAGATAAAGTCGAAAAAGTAAGTCAATGTTCAATATTTTCAAATTAATCAAATTAAGAGGTAATTTGTTTGTAATGTTTTATCAAAAATTTAAAGTACTTCTATAGATAATGAAGACGATGTTTCCAAATATTTATTTTCGTTTTAGATAACGAATGGCAGCTCATGTGAATGTATCGAAGATTTATTCCGACGAGTAAGACTTTTTTTACCAATATAGATCTGATTCGATGGAATTAATTTTTAACGTCTCAATACTAATCTAAGCCTTGCCATCAATACTATTGTACAATAATTAAACAATAAATGTTCACTCTTACAGTGAAATGTTTATAATTTAAATTTTAATGATATGTAATATTTCAAATAATCTTTTTTTCAAATTTATAAACAGTTTCTACTAACGTAAATGCAGTTCCGAATGTATTCCTCACCATTTTTATTGCTGTTCAGAAGAATCCGATACAAGAATAGTATTTATAATGACTTTTCATGTTTGACTTGATAGTTTAAAATAAATTGAGCATTAAGTGTGTTGTTTATGCTGGTAAAGTGATATATCTGCAAAACTCCAATGAGTGGAAAATTAAATTTTTCACGTTTCGCAACTTATTGTGTCGTGTTTTCTTTTAGTGAACAAACAAATCACTAACTTAACACGATTTCAAATAGTAAAGAGCAATAACGCGGAATACTTAATACAACAAAAGTAAATTTGATTAAGTTAATGTTATGTCACTTCAGTCAATGCGATTCTGTGTGACATTATTATGTGTATTTGTAAAACAGAAGGATATATTGTTAAAATCTATTCGAATGAAATGTCATGGATTGGCATAGTAGTTTTACCGTACAGTCATGGCACAACAGAAGGATTGTGATTTGTCCCGAAACTGCAGAGAACAAAATCCCTCAGTAAAGAAAAACACATCAGAATCTTTTAAAATGAATAAAGAAAAGGATCCCTTTCATGTTTACACGAAATCGCGTCTACAAACAAGAATGTGTAGACTGTGACCCATCCTATATTGAAGTCTTCTCGTGAAATCTCGGCCCGTGCAAAGGAACGCCTAAGCTACACAATGAGACCTAATAATTCTGTAGAGCAAGAAAATCTACAATTCAGATCGCCAATACCAGTGCATTTTATTTTCAACAACCATCAAATCGATATTAAAAAGATTCAAATAATTCAGAAAGGCTTTTCTAACCATACAGAAAGGATTCTGTGGAGCTGTTTAAATAATGTTTAATATTACGGTGGTTAATAGAAAGGAAGGTATAACTACACATAGAACTTCGACCATTTATCCAAATAACCACACTCAATTCTGCACACAAGCATGCAAATTTTTAAATCCACTTCCACACATTACAAAAAGGACATATTTTACACCCACTAGCGTACATACAAATACACACGATGTCTCATACAGAATCACCTTAACTGAAACGACATGTCATCACCATGATCAAGTCTACTTTTCTCGTACTAAGTATTCTGCGTTATTGCTCTTTACTATTTGAAATCGTGTTAAGTCAGTGATTTATTTATTCACTGAAAAAACAACACAATAAGCTAAAAAACGACAGAAATTCCATTTTTTATTCACCAGGATTTTATAATCTCATATTAATCATAACGACTGTTTGTATAGCTAATTTTTTAGTAGGAGTACGCGCACGTAACTGCTTGGGATAAAGTAATTTCCAAAACAAAACCATCGTTGATACATGTCTCAATGGGTTTGAGTTGTGACTGGTTAGACGAGTCATTTAATAAAATAGGTATAGTTGTATTTCACAATTTCATGTAACAACCAGACACACTAGCCAACTATAAAAGTAATAACGAATTCAATTCAGCATTCGGGTTTAATATCTCCATCACTAGAGAATCAGAACGTCAATAATCCCAGAAATGTGGTAAAATATAAGACGTGTCAGTCCGCTACATTTATGATTTTACTTTAAGCAATAATCTACCAACAAATTCTATCTCATATTAGTTTCAATACAGGCATTTAAGCCTAGACTTCTTGTACTGGACTATTCAGTAACCTCAGTTCGAGAAATACCTGATTCACTATGTAACAAAACAGGCTGCTATTTGACTTCAAACCAAGTCATCATAGTCTTAGTAAACAGCTTTATTTTGAATAAATCACTACACTACCTACTTTTAATGCATATAAAGTAAACATTCTCCACAGATAGCTTCTGAATTAAGTAACTAGGCCTTAACCACCGGAGATTTACCTTTACAACTAACTAGATAATGAAAATATGACAATGGGATTGTAGTAAAAACTAATAATTACTGTCGATAGGATAAAAGTTATACTTTAAACTAATAATAGTACACTGCAAAAACCTGTTAGGTTTTTAAAATAAGTATGAGGGCAAGACACATTGGATACCGCATATTTGAAATAAACTATCTTTTAATAAATAATCGGATTTCATAAGTTTACGAATAGTAAATATATGAATTTCAGATGATTTCTTTTTGAAACGTACTAAAGAGTTATTCAGAGTTACTCAATATTTTTATGATAATCTAATAGTGTAAGTTATCTTATTTACTTTTCACCGAACTCTATAACCAAACTTATTTCGTTATACTTTCCTAGTATACTGGTGATAAACCGCAGTACAAAATTGTATATGAAATCACAAGTTCATGGCAGTTTAGCTAAACATACATTTTAAATAATGTTTTAATAACTAATAACATATTTAAAAGATATCTTATATCTACCAGGTATCTCTCCTATAATATGCATTGAACTGTGTCGTAAAATATCACAGATGGAAAGAAACTTAAAAAATCAGCACATAATATATAGCAGTACCAACATATATCACATTTCTTGATCATCTGAAATTATAGTTCAATAATAACCTTAGCGTTTTCTGGTGATAAAGTAAATCTAACAGGTGTCTGTTGAACGGCTAACCTAGCAAATAATGCTGATGATAAAATAAAGCGTTACTGTTAGGCATAAGACTATCCACAGTCTGTATTGAAAAAAACTGAGTAGAAACACAATGAAACCGTAACACTTAATGATGCTTTAAATCATAAAACAATATTGATGAGACAAATGTTGAAACTCGTGAAGTGAATGACTACTGTTTTCAAACTTATCATCTGGTTGTAGCCGTAGCCTCTTAAAGAAACCTGTAACATGAGTCAATTATAAAATAACATGTTATCCTAAGAAATATATTCAAGGATGACTAGTGATCTGTAGGGGTTCAAGTTCTATATTACATCAAGTCCAGTCTTCGGTTACGTAATTGTAAGTATGCACTTAACTATGGTCCTGAATAATAGCATGACATAACTCAGTATATGTTTGTTATAAAATGATATTTACGTGACTACAGAAAATGGCCGTCCAACTGTTTAACTAAGAACAAGACTGGTGGGGACACATATATGTTCAACATACATTGAAAGGAGCTTGTACAGGACGCATGGATATTCATTGAATACAAGTCAAATACACGTAAATCCACCAGTTACTCGAACAAAAGGTTGATTTTATGATATTAGATTGACCATCGGTCTGCCCTACATCTACTTTACTCATACAGCTGAATACCAATAAATTGTAATCCTTCTGCATTTGATGATGCACTAACATGTAACGAACGTTGTCATAATAACTAAATCTTAGTAAATACTTTTACTGTTAATGATCAAGATCTACTTGTTGTTGATATTACCTCAAGTACGTGTATTTGATCTACTTATCAAACAAACTGAGGAAAAAGAATGTATTTTTTAGAACTGAGTAATACAGATGAACGAGACACATAAACAAAAATACATTATAATCCGAGACAAATCCATACAGATTCAAATTGTTCCATTTGAAAAAGGGGAAAAGGTAAGAAACCTGATGACACCAACACTAATGAAGTTTTAACAAGATAAATATATAAAACAGAAACAAGCAAGAATGATGAGTAAGACAAATAGGTTAACAGTTCTTTACAGATTTACTGCAAAACAATATATATGTGTAACAGTACTGGATATTAATTTAAGTCTTTAATTACAGGATTCTCTTTCTCTCGTTGCGAATTTAAACATCGTATTCAAATAAAATCGGAATAATTTTACATACACCTAGAACTATTTTCCAAATAGATACTGGTATCCAAGATTGAATAACTAGTTTGGACTATATCTTATTTTCCATAAGAAATTTGACGACACCACCTCTTCAGTGATTTGTTTCTAGAATGATATGAACTTTAATTTTAAACAAGAACCACACACTTTCATTCAATGGAAAACAAAAATTTAGGAAAATATTGACATCATAAAATATAAACGTCAGTTTCTATCCAAGTTGTGACGAAATACCATTGGTTATCAGAAATGACAATTTCTACATTAAATTTTAGTGATATATGTAGCAATTAGAAAATCAACTGTTAAAAATATTAATTCACAATCATACTAGAAACATTTAACTAATACAAAATGCTTAGACTGATAGTTTTTTCTTTGGATACGACTAGTAAGTCAAACAGAAAGTTATGTGTAATAATTAACTTCTGTAAGGTGTCACCTTGTAGTAGTATTTTCTAGTTATGATGAAATGATTTAAGTTAGCATGCATAAAAATTCAATCGCTTTCTTTAAAAAAAATTCTACATACTTTTCTTTCCAGGGTCTTTTGAGATTGAAAGGAGAAAAGGTAAGTGATTATACTTTGGATATGAAAAACTGTCACTCTAAATTAAATCTAGTTGAAGACATATAGATCCACATACAGTTTGACAGAAGGATGTTGTGACGATATCAGTCGTTTTTCATCTGCTTAATAATCGTACTGGTGATTATAAAAACAATCCCAGTCAAAATAGGCTAACAAACTCAAGAATTGATTTACAACATGAGGGCGTAAGCATAACCTTGAAAATAGAACTCTAGCCACATAGTTTATCGATCGTCAAATCCACCACAGAAGAACTGACCAATTGGGAAGAAATGCATGAATGGAAAGTTGACCTTATCATTAAGTGGTCCACCAATCAAATCAACTGAAAAATCTATCGAACGCACTCATTTGCAAGACTTCATAATTTTCACCCAACCGTTTAAATTGAGTCTAAGTTAACAAAACAACTGGTCAGGTGATAGGGAAAACAGTCGATGCACCGGTTCATATTACTGAACATAACTAGTTAGGGTTTTCATTGCTCATACTTTTAGAGGCTAATGGGTTTCCTCGCCTGAACAAAAAAAAACCATTACACCATTTCCAGTTTGATAATATCCCTCTAAGTTTGGTTAATATCGAGCAACATAAATTAATTGAAATCAAGCCAAATTATTGAGCTTTAGAGAAATCATTAGTTATGGAGTGATAGTATTAATTTGTAATGATATAAAATTGCATAAATCCCTAGATTTAATTCAGGTTTCCTATCGGTATAATAATCTCATGACTACTCTTGATTTAATTGCATTGAGTCTGATGTATTTTATGAGATACAGTGTCGAGCGAAAGCTTACAGCTTTATGTTTGAACTTGTATATTCGAAGTGAGACCATAGGAATTATGACCTCTTTTATATGACTGAAAGGATTGAAGTAATGTAGTAGTGTGTTGTTGAGCCATTGAGACAGGAATCCCAGCCGATATTTACAAATCAACAATCATTGCGTTATTCAAATGGGATCTAATCTACAATAGTGCATTGTCTCTCATTATACAAAACACGAGTGAGTAATGACAGTTGGGATTGAATAATATCAGAGGGTCAGGGATTTCTGAATAAATTTGTCTAATAATGAAACTTAACAAATGATGCTATCAAGTGAGAGATTAAGATGTTGAGCATTTGACATTCCTTACTACAGGTAATTTCGGTAATGAGTTTCAATATTGAAAATCTACAAAACTCCTCAGAAATATGTCGTTTAGCTCTTCAGACTTTCTTTTCTAATGCGATATTTTATCTGCCGTTAATTTTACTGCGGAAAAAGCCTTGAGATAAAATTCACAAAGTTAAACATGTGAGTGAACTTGGACTACTCGAATAAATGTTGGCCGATCAGCTTCTCTGTCAAAACAAATATCAGCAGTTAAAAGTATTAAATGACAGCTCAGAATTCATCCCAAGCACTTAGCCATTCAAGACCCTCCCCACAGAAAACTGTTTAACTACGTCATAATATGCGATAGACTATCGCTGCTAGTAGACACTGCCAAAACGTCCGACCTTCAATTATTTAGATAATCTCAACTAACTGTAAAATGCATTTCGCAATCTATACGGATGACATCATTTTTGGTACGAATATATCTGATAAGTTCCATAAGACTTTTATCTGTTCTAAAGGGAATTAAACAAATATTATGCTCTCCATTATTATTTAAACGTTTTTTTAATTTAGGTTTTCCTTTTCACTAAGATGAACCTTGAAGTGGTTTTATAATATTTAGACAATAAAATCCACAGTACACTTGTCAACTATATTTCAAACTATTCCATTGAGTGATGAATGTTTATGAATAAGAACTTCCGTCTAAATTTGAACGAACAGTTTCACAATATTTGGGCGCCGAGTTAATGTGAGACATTAAAGAGGAAGAATATATATTTGAAAAAATCTCAGCGAATGAAACGTTGGATTTACTTAAAATTCATTCGCTGAGATTTTTCAAATATGTATTCTTCCTCTTTGATGAATGTTTATGTTTTTATTGAGGTATCGCCCGATTTCATCACAAATTACATTTAAGTACAATGTTATTTTATCTATCGATTGAACATGAGTTCTGCTAGTAGGTTTACTTCTTAATCGATTAAATTATCCAATTATTAAATTGATCAGAATTTATTACCGTTTATTATATTTTTAGGGAGATCGTGGTGATGCAGGACCTATGGTATGTAAATTAACTTTTAAAAAATATTTGTTTGAGAAATAATAGTTTTCTGTGGTCACAACTTTGCTGAATAAAGTAAAAGCTTACTGTGTTTAAACTTTCATTAATAAACAGCCACATTTAATCAATCAATATGAATTAATATGACTGACAGTATTTTCATAATAATTACGGGAACAGTAAAAGTTGACTGGTGTTATTCTGTTATCTTCATATTTCCTTTTTTGTAAAATAAAGGAAATATTTCACACAAAATACAGAACGTGATTAAAAGTCTTTTAAAATATTCTTTACGAATTCATTTGAAGGGTTTTGTGAAGATGGGTTTAATTTGATATCAGTCAGCAATCAAGGAAGATTGGACTAGTGTTTCGTCCTAGTGTAGAACTCTTCATCAATGCTCCACTACAACCCTCTTCAGAGATTGGACTTGAGACCAGATGATATCAAGCTGTAGAGAATACAACCTACAGCTTTTCCAAAACTATAGTATAAACGTATTTCTGCGTCTCTCAATTACTAATTAAGTAATGACTTAACTATCAGCTTTTATTTTTAGCGCCTATATCAGATTATCAGTTCTCACATTTTCAGCTTATTTTCGATAATAAATTCTTCAATCCCTTGGAACTTATTAGTTGTTTTCATGACTAGAACACTAAAACTTTGAGAATTATTTACTTTAAATTTAGTGTATGCAAATGAACATTTAACAATTGGTACCATATATGTACATCCACATGACAAGGGTTACAATAAAAACAATCAAAAATACGACTATAAACCGTAATAGTATTAATCTAGTTAAACAAAGTTTTCAATTTAATGTACGATTTTTAGGATATTGGCATTTGTGCATTGAATCATATGAATTAAAAAATAATACATAAATTAAATTATTCTACTTACATTACCAGAAAACAATCTAATGCATAACTTTTCAAACATAGAATAGGTAAAAGTTATTAAGGAATAACTGACCCTGAAAGATTTTTTTTTTGAAAAGTATTCGAATCGACAATAGCAAATTACATCTGATAGTTGAAGATATGCAATAAAACAAAACCCAACATATAATGTATATTTCATGCTTATTGATATCCATAACAAGAAAATCACTGTAGCCTTCCTAGAAATCGATACTTCATGGTATATACCAGTTCAGATTGTAGTTAAAGGATTTATCACTGTAATGTTTATACCACTACAAGATAACCATTTTTTTAAAGATTAATTCATGTAATTTAAGGAAATACAATAATTATCAATGCGTTATTTAGAAATATAACCAGAACTATGTGTTTAAAACATTTTCAAGATTATGGTCAGTTATGAAAAACTCAGATGATAAGATGTTAACAGATAGGATTGAATAATAACAATTCTTATTAGATATTTAGTCACTGATCAAAACATCAGACACGACATTTTTCAATGCATCTATAAAGGTTAATGAGTACATAACACAGAATTCAAAAGAAAAACAAATAAATCCTAAGTATATAAAAGTTAAATAAGGCTTCCTTAACGAACATTTACTTTGTAAAACTATTTAAATACTAACAAAACTTAGGAATTATAGCAAAGGATGACTGATGACTCTCACTAAATGATTTCAGTAGGTTGTTTGCAAGGGAGATCAACGAGAGTAGTGATGACACAACCTCGTTTTTATATGGTGAAACAATGTCCCATTTATTAAACAATGGCAGCTAATGAACTCGTGAAAATAGTATGAAATTCTTAAATAAAATCATCGTTATGTACAGTCCAGTTCAGTTAAAACATTCGGTCTCGAGAATTTGTTCACCTTGATTAGACATTATAGAGAAAACAACACAGTGTGGGGAGTGTTTTTGATCAATATTGAACTAAGAAATCCCAGTGCATATGCATCTATAAACAAATAGACCGACACCAACATCGATATCTCAGTGATAACCTTTGTTTATATAAATCATCCACTGACGCATCACTATCTCTCTCACGTTTACCTACAACTTACTATTCAACCTTAAAACACTATATAACTCTACTGTTATGGTCAGAACACTAAAAACAAGTGATAAGTCTGTTGAAACCGATGCCTATCACAAAGCATTTTACTTTTTAAAATAACGAGAATAATATCTATAATTAATCTTTTGAGTTAATTAGGAAGTAACATGACTATGATAAGATAGACAAATTAGTGATGAGAGCTACAAACCTAACTGTATCACTGAAAAAGTTCACAGATTAAACTTGAATCAATAGATAATTTATAGAATTTTCAGTAATCTAACATGTAATTAACATAATTTCAGTATTGAAATGTGTTTGATATAAAAATATTGTAAAATATTAAAATACAATCTACTGTATCCGAAGATTTTGACTAAGTTACACTTTTTGAATTGTTTTTGATAGCCTTACATAAAAACGTATCTTGAATACTATTAAGTTTAATACAAATGATGAGGCTTTTAAGTACAGCATTAAATCAAAAGGATTTACCAATAGGAAATAATCAAAATGGATGTCGGTCAATCGGTTTGTAGGTTAAACATTCTTGAGGGGTTGGACTCTTGGGAACGAGGTTTGGATGCTCATTTCTGGTGAGTTTCATACTAAGGCAAAACGGCTATCCAGGGCCTCCAGGTTTTCTATGGTTTTCTAGTTTAGATTGGTTCACGATTTCAATGAAAATGTTCAAAAGTGAGAACAATCTATTTTCATGGCTTTTATCAATTTGCCTTACGGTTATTTTTAGTTGCTGATTGATCAAGGCTACAGTTGATTTTTACAATGGATTATCACAGTAACTGGTATTCATATCGAAATAAAATCAATAGGGCTCATGATCCATTTGGATAAAATCTTATTACTTCTCTGATGAAATGTATTTGGAATAAGTCATTACGCTTAGAACTTGTTTAAAATTTGAAGAACCATGCTGAGAAACATGGTCGTAACTTCTAAAAATCAAAAATGCAAAAAGAAAACCTAATTTTAAAGTTAAAAAACCATCACGTAGTATATATATATATATATATATATATATATATATATATATATATATATATATATATATATAATTCAGACAAACAATACTCGTGACTTTATTATGATGACATCCATCCTATTTCATTTTAGTACTGATTTCACAAAATACATCAAGTAATTTGACTGATTGTCATAACCAAAGATAATTTGTTAATTTATTATTTCTAAAGTCCTTCTTTTGTAAAAATGCTGATAATCAGAGTAACACATCTGCTGATCAGATAAGAAATTGTTAGTTGATTTTCCTAATGAAACATAAAGTTGTATGGTTAATAATCATGACTTCTGTTTACAAACATAGGTATTCAATAGACTGGACACAATAGTAATATTATATAAAAAGATTATTATTGATTTTTGTTAGTTTATTAGGTTCTTCTATTGCATTCTTTAAAATATTCATTAGATCCTAATGTTAGGTAACTGGTGATAGTCGGGAGGAAATTTTGTGTGTAGATTCCGTGTTAGTTGACACTTGTCACCGAGGTATATGTGGGATATTGAAGGAATTGTTGCTAGATCTGGGTTTAATACGTATATCACCTAGTGCAGCAACCTGAGATATTGCCACCAAACGTTTTTGTTATAACTCTCTCTTCTTACGGTTAATGACCCAGCTATTCCTATTGCTTAGTATTCTCGGACACCGATTCACTCGACAAGTCCCCAAATCAGAACACGGTTGAACAGGAAAGAGATTATATTCCAAATAGCAAGTCAGAAGCACAATAGGGGAAAACGTCAGTATATTTATAGTTTTTACATAAGAAGATTCCAGAGTATTCTCCAACTATCGGCTAGTGCTGATTGGACAAGAATCAGCCAATCAGCGTGCACCAAAGCAATCATGCATTGAGCTTGCTTTAAACTAGTCTATGTCCCGCTAACAGTTTTGGTTGAGAAATTGATCACTGCGCAGTAACTTGTTTGCCGATTGGCCACTAGTGAACAAAATTTATTCACCACTAGTAGCTAGATGAACACGACATTGTCTAACACTTGATGACTCGTAAGCCTAATTACCTATGTCCATTTTCAATTCTATTTTCTAAGACGTTGTTATTAATTATTCATTTATTTATTAATAAATGTGATAAAGATTTATAAAAAAAAATCCAGTTATTTGTCTTGTGTTCCGCAGCTACACAAGATCTACCATTACCTCTGTTCAAAATGTCTTTCTAAAGCTTGACCAAACAATATTCAGTAGTAATCGTCTCAATTACATATGACAGGAAAATATATTTGCTGTTAGCATATGACATTGTTTAATGTTCAAAATTTGAATTATTATCAAGAACTTGTATTAGCTAGATGGCCATTAAAAACTAGAAAGCATTAGTCAGTCGATTTATCTTTGCCTGGAACTCGCTTTTCATCAGTATCCATTCACTTATTCTCAGTGAATCAAATTCACACTAGTCGATCATTTTGCAAGGTACTTTTACATCATTAGATCTAAAACGAACGTCCAGTATATTTCCAACTTCAGTTTATTGTATCGTAGTTATTCGATGTTATCAAAGACGTCTATTTCACTCATCACATTATGTTTCCTGGTTAGCGTCTTCTTAGCGAGTCAGTTTTTTGCGGGGTGCTGTCGCTAACCCCATCCCCAACCACCCTCCTTTGTCCGGGCTTGGGACTGGTAGTAACCCCAGAGGGGCTCAAAGCGGAGCTAAACATTACATGTCAGAGTCTAACCAGAAATCTAGACATACAACCCCAAAATTTTTTTCACCAAGTATATGTTATTTATAATAATATAGTTTATGCAGAAAAGTTAACTAAAATGTTTTATCTTACATTAATATTTTCTTTAAAAGGTCTTAAATTAGAACTAAACACCCCAAATTGTAGAACGACATAGTGCCAAGAAAACATCATATTTGGACTAGTAACTAATTAGGTTTTTTTCAACCAGTTTCAATAGTAATTTACTCTTATTTTATTGTTTTCACATGCATGACGCGTAAAGTTATCTGACTATTTGTGGTACATAGCTTCGGAGTTGGTGGAACAGTGTAATACTTAGTGATTCGTTTTTTTATTTAAACTATAAAAGCGGAAGCTCACAAATGTCTTGTCATTTGGCCTTGTTTACTGAAATAATTACACACAAGTTTTCTTCAAATAATTGTGTGATCAACAAACAATATGCTGAAGGACATTTTCAATATAAACTCATATCTGTAGGTATCATTACCAAGGTTTGACTTGATAATTTCAAATAAATTGAGCATTGAGCAGATTGTTATAAATAAAAATAATATATCTGTAATATCACAGTGAGTAGAAAAATTAGATTTCCTGACGTTTCATGACTCAGTGTAAGCCAGTTTACTGGAGAATAAATAAACGATTTAATTTGGTATGACTTACACTTACAAATATAATATTTTTATTTATAAACTTATATCGACTGAAAAACCATTAAAAAATAGGAACACTACAAAACTGCTTCATCCTTTCCAAGGTTTACCTACATACTCTCACACTAAATTAAATTTTGTACCTTCAAATCTTACAGTGAACAAAATACCTTAAAACATGTAAGTAAGAATTTAGTGACTTACTAGTTGATTTATAATGAAAATGATTTTCAAATTAAACTAGATCATTATTGAATTATGAAACCTAGCAAAAATAGTATGTTGTTTCTCTACAACTTCAATGAACAAAATAGCTGACATATCAACTGTTTTCTCTTTATGAACAATCAAGAGGTTGATATTTAGTTGGTAGTTCTTTAAATTAGATACGCTTAAAGCGTGCAATAATTGTACATCGTCGCAGATAAATAATAATCTGCAGTTTTTCCTTATCTGATTTTTACCAATTAAAACAATACCATACACAGGATATATTTTCCAGTTGCTCGTTTTTACGTCTGTAAACAAGTTTGCATTTGATTTTATTCATTTTTCTCGTTTCTTTATCATAAAAAGGGACCTGAAGGACCCCCTGGAACCTGTCCTGCAACTTGTGGATCGAATCTATCGACTGTTATACAAGTAAACAAATTTTCTATATATGTGTTATTTCTAGTTCATGAGTTATTATCAATTCATCTGTTTAAAAACAGTCTTGATTGACAGTGAAAATTTATATGTAGATGGCCAACGAAGCTGAAATAAAATTCAAGTAACAGTTACACTTAAATCAAAAGCTCCTACACTAGTTGTCCAGTACCCTATTATCCAAAGTTGGATGACTAACAGTTAACCAGATTTGAATCTCTTCGTCATGTAACAGACTGCTTATTCAGAATGTGTTAGTTTAAACCCCACCTTCATTCAACTAGAACCATCATCCTTGTGTAAGAACAAAATTATTTTTTGAAAAAACTGTTCTAAACAGCTAAATGATTGAAAAGAAATATTATACTTTTTTCCCTGTAAATAGCCTGTATTAAAGACAAGTAGTCTATATGTAAATGGAGTATTTTCCTTAAAGATTGGCCCAATGTATTTTTGATTTATTTCATCTTTTACATTTTAAAATCATCAAATGATGGGATAGAACATATTTGAATTAACGCTAATTTTATAAAGACTGCCAGCTGTATATAAGATTTTGTTTTGAAACAAAATCATTTGTTCATTTTTAAATTACAAAAAGATTATCCTCTTTCCTTCACAAATATTTACTTGTTCCACCAGATACTTATTAATGATAATAATAAACATTAGATTCAAATGTTTCACCTGTTCAGTGATTATGTTTTACTATAAATCTAAAGCATAGTCCCAAACGACTTTAAAGTATCAGTATTTACAGCCAATCAGAAGGCGTCAAAGATAATCCGATGAATTGTTATCCGAGGAATTATGATTAAAATGTTATTAGGATTTCTGCATTATAGCTTATGTCAGTTTGTGATTGAAACTGTAACCCCAGTCTCTGATTCTAACTCGTAACTCGAATTCCTACCCTAATTCAATATAAGTGCCATAACTTTTCTCCGTTCAACAGTATGATTTAACTCTATCTTCATATATCCCACTTCATCAATTTTAGCACAGTGATTGTTATACAATTCAAACTATTACCGTACCTATGATATTATTTTGTTAGTGAACTATGTTTGTAAATTATTTAATGATGACAATCGAAGAGTTGGTAAATTTTTACGTACTAAAAACTCACGCTTAGGATTCAATTGAATTTTACAAAATATTCTTGATGTTCATTTATTTTTTATTACAAACACCTCAAATCACTGCTAAATTTATTTGTCCATTCATAAACTCTATTTTGTTTTAATTTACCATTTTTTTTCCAAAAAGTATAAACTACTATACTCAGTAAATTTAATACTTCCTTTTTCTTCATCGTTTTCCGTAGTTTATTTCCATATCTTTTCATAAATTCATAGGGACCTAAAGGTGATCCCGGTCCTCCTGGAGTTTGTACCATTGATCAATGCAAAGAAGCTGCAATACCCGGACCTCAAGGACCTCCAGGAGAAAAAGTAACTGATATATATATAAATACATATACATATTTATATAGTGTAATTTCAATTTCCGACAGAAAATTCTAATGCTTAGAGAATCATATAAAACACAAAAACCTGAGTTAACATTTTTTCAGAACTTTCATCTACTTCACAATTTGAATATTCATCTGATGAATATGTGAATTTGTATAACTTAAAATGTGATATCAGTTATCTGTATTGATGACTGTAATGAAATAAGTGTTTTTTTATGTTAATGGGGTTTATGTTTCAGTATTGAATGAGTTGGCATTTTAAAATAGAATATAAACCACTTTCTGTAGGAACTTTCATACTAAATAGCACATGAAGACAATTTCAAGAAGAGAGAAAAACAGATACTCACCATGATAACTCGGATTAAATTTCATTACATTATTTTTCTTTTAATAAACTTGATAATTTCCTTATATTGATCTCTGTTGTTGAATTTGGGCTACATGTGTAAAATACCTGACATTAGATTAGATCATATCTGATGGTTGGTAGTGATTAAATTTCGAATGAGAGCTTTAATTAGTTTAGACTTTGTCAATCTATTGTATTTATGTTGTGTAAATGGTTAAATGATCATCTGCTATGGCACAGAATTAGTATAGTCTTTGTTTTTCAAAGAAATAGCTTCTCGCTGTTTACTTTTGTAAAGCTGAACAGCCAAGTCTCCGTCGATATTGTTACATTTAATGTGTGGATGTCTCAATATATGGAAACATAAGGTAAGTATACGATTTTGATTTTTCTTATACTCGCATCACAAAGAAAATCGATCACCATTGTAACTACATCTTCGCTGAAAAAAATAATAATTTATACCTCAGTGATTTAGTCATTGGCCTTATACCTTCAAGGTCATAGAATTGATCCACTCTACTTGTCGTTGTCGGATTATACAATCATGCATACTGTATTATACTGTTAAGCTAATGGGATTTAAATTCTGCTGATTGCTCCAAGTGATTAACGTTATTAGTTTAATTAAAGAACACAACTTAATTTGTAGTTCCTTTGTTTTTATTAATATCTTTGTATATTAGCATAAATCAACACTTAGTTGATATATTGTTCATATCAAGAGAACTAATTAATAATCGTTTCTCACTCATATATCAATACATGTATACATACATATAAGCTAATTTATAAATTTTTTTGTTGAAAAGGGAGAAAAAGGTGATCCAGGAGAAGTAGATCTTACAAATGATCAGTCGATTTCAGTTATTAAACAAGCCATTCACGATTTTATATTACAACCAGTAAGTAACTTTTTTTGATATTGGAAGTTTTTTCCTAGATTATTCCAAAATATTTAACAAGTGGTTTTAGGGACTTATTTAATATTTTGATCTTATCTACCCAATCACTTGCATTTTAATTCGACTCATTGGAACAGAGAGTAATAGGAATCTAAACGTTACCTATTTATATATAGAAACCATAGATAGTTCTAGTGTACATATGTAGAAGCACAAGCATTTATATACTACTTAAACAAAAATCTCTTAATATATTCCATTTATCCAATTGAACAGTTTTATACGAGCATATGCGTACATAGATTGACTACAAATTAGTCAGTTGATTTGTCTGATAGTTTTGTATCATTGAACAAACAATTGAAGTTTATTTTTAAAGGTGAATCCTTCTAACAAATAACCTAATAATTATTTAAATGATTGATATATATATGTAAAGTTTGACACAAATAAGTAACTGTTTACCGATTAAATCTGAACATGTTAATATGTGATGTTTCCTACAATTATACTGATATCAACTGTGATACCTGTGAAAATAAAGTCACTCTAAAATGTTTCTATCTGCCTGACCGTTTTTATTCTTGCAATTTACAAACTATTGTTTATGTACAAATGAGAAAGATATATGATAATCGGTCAATATATCGTCTCAGCACTTTACAATGAAATCCATAAATGTTCATTTAACTAATCAATACAACGCAGTATGGTCAAAGTACAAATTTTATCATCAAATATATTGATATGATTTAGTGAACTCACGTTAAAATGTTTAGCTTAAAGTGAAATATCCTGTTCCAGGACATGTTTCCTATGAAAAAACTGGAAAATAAATCTCATATGGGTTTTGGAACTCACAAATTTGAATAAAGTAAAAACAATGATTGTAGCAGAATAATGTGAACTGGTCTGTTTCTTGCGTTCTCTTCAGCTGCTTATAACCTAAAAGACAATATTAACCGTTATTTAAAACCGGTGTCCATCCTTTATATCATATTGATGACACTTAGCAGAAAAGTAATAAATTTCAAACAATTTTTAAAATGTTCTGACGGTTGAATTCATTTGAAAATTCTAGAAGAAAATTTTCTTTAACAAGTATAAATATGTTTCTAGAAAATGAGGATCGATATCAAAACTTCCATAGAAATAAAAGTAAAATGACTTGATTAACAGAATAAACTGAATAAGCTTCAAAAAATAATTCAAGAACAAAGAAAAGGAACTTCATGATGGAATGCATAGATTAAGATACTGCGCTATTAAATGCTGAAAATCGTAATCATTATACAAGGGCAAGATCGATAATTGTATGCTTTTGACTGGACAAGTTCGCTTCCTACGTTCAGGTAGTGATAGCTATGAAAAAAGTACTACCGTTGAAATCTATGCGCATCCACGATCGTGCATGCGGGACCCGAACTTTGGACCTTCGGTCGCCCGCGTGAATGTTTAACCTATAGACCGCTAAGCCGGTATCCAATGATCTTAATGTCCAACTTCAGTCAATCCACAATCTTAATCTGTTTCTTACTTAACATGGATTGGACTCCATCGGTTACGCCTTTTCACTAAAACTCCAGGAGCTACATTTTAAAGCTAGTCGTTAGTGTCCAGTCCTTCCAGGTTTTCAGTAGTGATCTTATTTATTTACTCAAACACATAAACATCAGTACAAGAAGACATCTAGTATATTTGTGCCACACTTCATCATTTGATTTATTTGAGCGCTGGGATACTGCCTAGGCACCCAAACTGCAACAGGTGGTTTTCTTAGGTAGCAACTCCCCGAGACTTTGACCTAGAGGTCTAATCCACAAGTCATTGGAACAACGTTAGGAGATGCATATGTGTTCACAAAACCTACCAACCAAATTTTCTATAAATAATCTCATACATTTTATGATATATGTGGTATAAGGCTAATAGCGGAACCCATGAAACTTGTTACATTCTGTCTAAAATTAATAACGTTGATGTTCACACTCAGACTCGGACATAGTATTTTTCGACTCAAAAACTCATTGCATTATCCTTTGAGATACTAAGTCTAGACATCCACTAATACATCCAAAATTAATGAAAGTCCTTAATTACCCTCTGCACTGTTGATATTCAAAACTGCAATTAATTAGTTTTCATTACCATATATGCATTTTTAAGTAGATTGCCCAAATAAACATATGACTTATAACTCGTAATTTTCCTTTTATTTCTTTATTTTATTTATCTTTTCACGTTACCTCTTTCACTATTGAATTGTCTTTCTTTCTCTGTTCTTTTCAAAAAGGAAATTCAAAAACAATTTCGTGGTCCAAAAGGTGATCCAGGTGAATGTTCATGTTTAAGTGATGCAGCAGATAATTCTTCACCGAAAAAATATTCAAACAATGAATTAAATAATTCAAAAAATAATCATAATGCTAATAGTAATAATAATGGTGAAATTTCAGGTTATGGTGTAAGTTATAGTTTGTTTTATTGATTCTATTATTTATAATTATTCTTAAGAATACCTCCATTCATTAAATATGGATCATTATCTTTGGTATTTACACTAAAATATACGTGTATAACAATGATAAATGGAATTAAAATAAAATATGAATAACATAAAATTAAATTAGCTGTCAATCAGTTGGTGAATGACATAATGTTCAATTGATTGAGTAATGAATCTTGCTTGATCGCTTGAATTTTTTGTTAGTCGACTAGAATTGGTAAATTCTTATGAATAATTTAAGACAGATATTGATGAATTGATAATTAGTTATACAACATTGTATGTTAGGTAAGTTAATAAAACATCTACTGCCTAAAATAGGAAATAAGCACGTTTTCTATATGTTGAATTTTCATGATGAAGTATATACTTCAATAGAAGATCAACTATATAGATTGAACAGAATAAAATGTTTCACATTCTAAATCTTCGTATTTTAAAGTAACAAGAACAATGAAAAATTAATAGAATTATTCATCAAAATATCATCTGAAGTAATCTTTACTTAAAATTTAGTAGTTGCCATCAGATAAATTACAAAAAATGTTTATTTAAAACGTTATTCAAAAATCCACAAAAATTATACTGAAATGTGAGAGCTGCTGGAATTAATCACAACTGACAGTTATATCTATGGTACTGACTGTCTGCAAAATCTGTGTGTTTAAAACAAAGAGAAATGGGCATATCTTTCTGAAACTTGTCCTCATAGGTGATAAAACTGTTGGGAAGATGAATATTTTAGATTGAAGGCTACAATGTAAACGATGGGTCGAACGGTCAAATTAACATGTTGGCACCATCACACTGATCGATTTTCATACTGGATTTTATTCTTTTGATCCTGTCATATTACATTCCTCGCCTAAAAATAAATCAGGCTGAAGGCGTTGGAATAGATGCACATGACATTTTGTTTGAATTATATTCTCTATGTTCAGTTTCACAGTATTATTATCACCATCATTTCAACATTCTTTCTTTTAATCTTGTTAATTTGTCTTCATTATATTGACATACTGAGCAGTAAGTTAGTCTGATGATTATCTTCTCCAGATTATACTATGTTCATGCCTGAGAAGCTATCATTCATAACTCGTAGCGGTGACATTTCCAGTGGTACTGTTGATAGATGAAATCTGAACAGTTTCTAATTATTATTACCTATTAAAATTGTCTCTTACTAATTATATTATGAAGTTTATCGACTATTTTTGTTATCTTGACCTTAAAATTACTTAGTTACAAGTTGAATAGTTTAACAATATTATCTCTGATTGTCTCACTTCATGTCAAACACAAAATACTTTCGCAACAACATTGTTTTACCTGGATTATTGATAAAACTACATTTTTCATTAGATAAATACAATTACATTCGGTAATGAATACAATCAATAGTTCCTTATCCGAAGCATTGAGAAGATTACCTGTATATATAAAGGAATGACAATTGTTTATTTATTTATGGGTATACTTTTAATTCTCTAGAAGATAAATTATCTTATATCATTTTAATAATCAAAATAATCATTATTACTATTCAACAATCTATTTTTATTTAAATTTTCATGATAAAAAGGCAATGGTCTTGAATACTGAAATGGATTTAAGCAAAGTATCACATACTTTTCCTGTTGGTACAATGGCTTATATTAAAGAAGCGGATACATTCTACTTAAAAACAATAGAACAAACTAATACATGGCGTATAATAAATCTGGCAAGTTTATTTATTTGATTCGAAAATTTAAGTGTATACATTTTAGACTGCATGAATGTTAATTATTACCATTATTATTTATAATACCCACTAATTACTGTAATTTAACAATTCATTCCAAGTTTTATTAATGATATTAAAAAAAAGAAATATGAATTGTACTAATCACTTGAATGTCTGAAAAGAAAACAAAAAATCAACATCACTGGTTAAAATCATGAGTCATTTGAAGCTAGACCACCATGGAAAACCTGGAAGCACTCGACGGTCGTTTCGTCCTAGTGTAAGACTCCTCATGATTTCAACCAGTGAAATTTCTAAAATCTCCACAAAACCCATTCTGATAAAAAAGAAACAGTCTAACATTTCTACCATTCAGTTTTAACGATAAGTAGTTTGTGCTCTGAACAATCATTTATATAATAAAAAGTATATTTTTGTTATATCCCAATGAGTAGGAAAGTTATATTTCTGATGTTTCGTAACTTAATATAAGCCACGTCTTCAGAGTAAATGTAACAGTAATATATTTATTGCTAACTTTCTATCAAATACTTAATTTATTTGAAATTATCAAATCCAACCTTGACATTGACACTTGTGTGATTCTTTGAATTTTCTTATAAATTACAATTTTATAATATTGTAGTTGGGATAATGATAATGTTTATTGAGAAAATTATTCTTGCCATCTAATTGAAAATATGTCATCTGTCAATCAGTCTATTGTTTTATTGCTTCCCTAACTATTTATGTATGTTGTTGTTATCATATTATATCAGTAAATCTCATCGGTACTACTATCCACTATAATTTCAAGTACTATATAAGTATTTATGGAAGAAACATATTGAGTGAATATTTTTTTAAAATTATCTTTGCATTATACTCCGTTCTGACTGAATTTGACATAAAATTATTTTTACCAAACGCCCAATAGATAACCCTATGAACGTTACCTAATTGGCTGTCCAAATTTATTTATTAGCTAACGGACTACTACTTGTCTCTGCAATCTTAGTCATACTAATATAGGTTCTAACATAGTGGTTATTTTGATTGTTTGATTGAAAACTGGTAAAATTTAATAACAATATTATTTACTGAGTCACAAAACCGGCCTAAAGAAAAAGTTAATATACTATGATTTCAATGAATGTATTAACTACTAAGTAACTTTGAATAATTACTTATCGATACACCTTACTTTAATTATTAGCTATCCATAAATTTTAAACTTAAGTAGTATTGATAAAGATATATGTTAATCTACAAAGACCATTTGATTTTCATTTACCGATTCTATGAAAAATACCTAAACTGACAAAGTAGTCAATACACCAAGTAGCTGAACTTCCAGACAGAATATCAGAAAGCCAGGAGACTACTCAAAAGTACCTTCATCATTTTGGATCACAACTCAGAAAAATATGTTATAGCTCTGTACAGAGTAATCACTTTATATATTAGATGGTTGAAGATAGTACACACACAAAGTGAATAGCAAGATTTTCCGATACAACACAAATCAAATCACACTTGATGGAGAAGCTTTGGAGGATGTAAAAGCCTTTACATATCTTATCAGCATCATTGGTGAACACAGTGAACATGGTGCAGATGTGAAAGTGCGAATCGGCAAATCAATTGAAGAACATCTGGAACTCAAAACAACTTTCAGCCAACACCAAAGTCAGAATTTTCAATACAAATGTCAAGACAGTCCTGCTGTATGGGACGGAAACTTGGAAAACTACGAAAACCATCATCCAGAAGATACAAGTGTTTATTACAGTTGTCTGAACAAAATATTTTTGATCCGTTGGCCAGAACTATCAGCAACAACCTACTGTGAGGAAGAACAAACCATATTCCAAAGGGAGAAGAAATCAGGAAGAAGCACTGGAAGTGGATGGGACACGCATTGAAGAAAGCACCCAACTGCGTCACAAGGCAAGCCCTCACTTGGAATCCTCAAGGCCAAAGGAGGTGAGGAAGACCAAAGAACACATTACGCCAAGAAATGGAGACAGACATGAGAAGAATGAACAAATATTGGGTAGAACTAGGAAGGAAGGCCCGGGGTAGAGTGAGTTGGAGAATGTTGGTCGGTGGCCTACGCTCTACTGGGAGTAACAGGTATAAGTAGGTTGAAAATAGGCGAAGATACTATGCTCGACCCATATTTCATGCTGATTGGTACTCGTTATCAAGGTATACCTGGAACCTTGAGGGAGGTGACGTTTACTGTAAAATTTAAACCTGGGTCATTCATCTTTACGGTTGTAGAAATTGCCGACGAGTCATTTGAGCTGCGTCTGAACTCCTGTGCAATAATGAATTGTTTACAACCAGATCAATAGGATTCAGTCAGCATCAATGAACCAGACAAAAATGATATAGGTCACTACTCAGAGATCAATTAATTGTACATTTATTTACATGAAGCTTAGTAACAAATTTTTAATTAGTTGATCATAATTAATGAACGATAAGAGATGTTTCAACAATTTATGAGTTAAAAGATAATTTACATTTAGAACTGTACATAAATATCACAAAACATATATTTTTGCAGTAAGAAAATATAAGCTTCCAATATAATTCACTGTTGATACACTTTTCATCCAAAAAACTAATGTATGCCTGGTTAGAATCTCAAAGTATTGGTAACATCTCTTACCGTTTCAATTACTTGTAACTGATGATCATCGATCTACTCAAAATTTAAGCCATTGTGCTTCTTTATGCATGATTACTTTAGAGCAGCTATGAAAGATTAACATTTATTCGTTATCTTAAAAGGGTATAAAAAAAGTTAGTCAAATAATCCCAGATAATAATCGTGGTTTAGTCTATGTTGGATAAATAAAAATGAAAAAGCTTTTATAGTCTTATTTTGCTCCATTCCTTAAATGTTATTCTCACTGAATAAATTGAATCAAATTTTAACAATAAAAATATGTATTTGTATGGCTTTTTTATTTTAATTTTCTCTTTTCTAGCTGTCGAAAGCAGATGCAATTAATTTACCAATTCCAAAACCAGTAAGTCATCAATGAATATTATATTTCATAATAATTTATATATTCTGAAAATAATAATTACAGAATTCACGCCGGTTTACAGGTATGATCAATTTGATATAAATAGTAACATTGGATGTACAGAACAAACAAGTGATAGAAGAAAGTTTTAAGTATACTAGTTCAGTAATTGCTTAGGTAGTACATGTATTACAGCGATCCAATGCATCAGCCGGGAATTTTTAATATTTCTTAAATAGACAGCCTGTTGATTTATGAACGGAGTAATTAAGGTCATTTCGTGTGCCAGATCGAATTAATGATAATTATCTACAACTAGAGAAATTAAAACGAAAACACAGAGCACGGAACAACAAAGCAGTAATTACCAAAATATATCAATCAGGTCTACCTAAATGAGTGTGTCATGTGACACAGTGATATACTGTTGATGCTATTCAAATTAGTTAAACTTGCTAGGGGCGATGTTAACATAAAGTGACAGCAAGTAGGTGATTGAGTTAAATCTGACTTCATAATGTGTGATTATTTTTCTTTTGCTGAAACTAAAGAATTACATTTCAGCAAATGGTGGTCCTTTCCCAATTCAAATAAGAAATATGATAGTAAAGTCTGGAAAGTTTTGTAACCTAAGCAACGAATGTTAATCATCTAAATTAAATCAGTTTGAATGATATAGTATCTTGGATATTTTTAAAAGTTATAGACTATACTTAAAATACTCGTTCAAATAGACGCGCTTATTAGTTAATATCAACTAATTATATGACATGCTTGATTTAAGTCTTGTTACCAGTTCAGAAATCATACAAAGATTAGTTCAGACAAAGTGAGAGCATACAACCACCTCTCTCCATTGTATAATTCCAAAAGTTGTTATAAGTAGAGTAGTCCAATCTTAACATTCCTCTTCAATTTCGCTATCAATGAAATTCCTAAAACAGGAATAATGAAGTAGGTAATGGTGATACAGATCTGTTAGATGAAGGTAGATTTTTTAATCCCGAGGATGTGTATGCTGTTGTGTTTCTGTGTAGTGACACTTAAACTAAGCGAATCCCGCACAATTGGTTGGGAATCAATGTCCGTTGAGATGTCATGTACTGTGCACCTTTTCAATGCCTATGCCTACACTCACTCTTTGTAACGAGCTATCGAAAGTAATCGAAATTTCATGTGTCTGAAAAGTCTTTTGAGCGTTGGCTTTGCCCTGACTAATGAGATCAATTTGCGTATAGTGAGAGCCTGGATTTCTTATGGAATCTTTAGTGCTGTAATGATGTTAGCCTGGGTGCAAAAGATTGAATTCACGACTCTGAAAGCAGTTCTGCACTATGTTTGTCTCTGAGTTCACGATGTGTGGCGACTGTCTATGTTCGATCAACGTTAACTGTGAAGGATTACTAATATTCAACAGCAACATCATGTTAGTAATGCTGAGGAATGACGTTGTGCGTTCGGGCTCAGTGGTCATAATTCGACTGGTTTCATTATCTTAAAACACAAATTTCCTCGGTTTGTACATATTTCACAAATTTCATCCCAAAGACCTCAATATTAATTTCCGAGTCTAGGACGCGTTCGAAAAAGAGACGTGGTCAGTTTATGATATGGCTGTGGTATTAAGGAGAGCTGTATAGGACTGCTCTTTGCCAGTCTATCACAGATCATTGGCTGGGATCCTTGAAATGATCCAGCTCAGCGGCTTGAGACGTTATTAGATATGGCTCAAAACAGTAGATAATGGTGGTCTTACTGTATGGTTTTAAATTCTTAATTTTAAAAATGACAGGAACTCACTTATCTGAAAGAATTCTCTTTGGCTGTATTTTATCTGAACTGTTTCTCCTATCTGTACTGCCGTCGTGAACTCATTTTTATTCACTTTTCTGCTTTCGAATATACTTTTTTCTCTATCTCTTCACAATTCCATTTAATTTGTGGGACATATTTATTTCGTACTAGTTTTTATATGTATTCAATAAATAAAAAAAGATGGTTGGTTATGATGGGATTTGGATAGAAAGCTAATAAAATTACGATGGATAGATGATCTTAAAGTGATTAGTGAAATGTCACAGGTTAGACATTAGTTTACTCGCCTCAATACCAGTTATTTGTATTAGTGAAGCCAGCCTATATGGAGAACTTTAAGATGCACCATAAACACTCTTGACTATACCCTATGTCATACGAACTATACTCAACAGGTAATTTACATCCCAGTTACGATCTGAATCAGAAGGTTCAAGTGTTTTGACGTGAGTCACGTCAGAACATTTGGAAATCTTGACAACAGCCATCGACGGTTCAAGTGTTTTTTGTAACTATAGTTTGACACCATCTCAGATTATACGGTTGCACAAAAGACTTATGATTATCTATTTTAAGTGCCTTAAGAACTGGATAAAAGTTAATTTTATTAGACTCATTATAAGATATCAGTTAACTGACATTACATTTGAAATTCTCACAAAAATCAAAGAGTAGCTATCTTAGACCTAATTAGTTCGTTCCTCACATTTATCATTTGAGGCTATTATGGAACGAAATCTTATTTAAATGAACATTAAGATGAATACATTCCAATTTTAGTTTTAATATGTTGATCCATTTAATAGAAATTCAAGAACATAATTAAAAGGTCAATCCAGTGTTTTGATTTATCAACCAACCGATTACATTTCATCTCCGTTTCAACACTTTACCTTACCATGCTGAGCTACCCTCTCTCAATGATAATTACCCTATCTATTTTTTGATGAATACTTAAGCCATTAACAATCAAACGATTATTAAACTTCCCTTGTTTTAAAAATTTTTTTAATACTTTTGTTTATTTAACCTCACTGTCACCATGTATAACAAGTTTATTATCAGTATTATTATCATCCTGTAAAAATAAGCATATATATTTACGATTGTACAGCTTTGAAAATGAATTCACCGAAAAGAGAACACTTCGCTGAACTAATCTTTCTTATTTAATGTCTTAATGGGTGTATTCCGTTTATCAATAAGAAACTGTCTGAATCTTTTATTGTGTTTTATTTTTTAAAATAAATAAGTTAGCTTAACAAAAATAATGAAAAAATAAGTGGATAACGCGATGGCGTTTGAAGCGAACGGTACTGAGTTCGAGTCTCGGAGTGAACATCAACTCTAAGATGCAGGTACATCCAGCTGACGAGTCCCACACAGGACGAAACGCGCGTCCTGGATTCTACTGCTAGCCACTATCCATCTTTGCTTATAATGCTTGTAAATTAAGGCAATATTGAGGCATACGCACAGTATGCACATATGCCAATAGGAGACTGATCAATTTCAGTCCTAAAACATCAATGGGAAGATTCAAGTAAAACAATATCAAGTGAATTAAAAAATAAAATAGTTTATTGAATTTGAATGTAATTGGTATTAAATGTACATTATTGTAACTAAAATTCTGTGTAGGTGAGAGATCACATTGATTAGTTTAAATGTTAAAATTCCTATTTTCAATTTGTGATTTTAAAGAATTAGCATCAAGTCATCTGAAACTTGTTGATTAACCGATCAATCATTAATTTAGTATATTGGAAATAGTGTCGCTTAATGGACAATTCGATACTAACTAATGTACATTGATTTATAATGTTCAAAGTAGGAAAGGAACGGAATCCCCCATTCTGATGATAATAATAATAATAAATTCTGAAAATAAAAACTACAGAATTCATACCAGTTTACAGGCATGATGAACTTGATATAGATAGTAATCTTAAATATAGAAGACAATTGAGATATTAGATTGTTTAAAGTGTTCTAGTTCAAAAGTTGTTTAGATAGTACATTTTTCACACATTATACAACTCATAAGACGTTGGGACTTGAAGTTCTATTTCGATATCTATTCTGTGAAGGATAAATTGCGGATCTACCTAAATCCTTAGTTCATTATCGTATGTAGCTTAGATAACACCTTACCATCTATAGTAAGATCTAAGTTAAATGAAGTATTAGCGAAGCATATCCATCGAAATTCTGTCGTGTTAAGTTCCTATTGCCATTTTGAGCATTACTGTGCTACCTTGTTGAGGTACATACTGATAAGATCTCGTATATTGTTCAGCTTATGAGGAGAAAATGAATACACTACTTTAAAACCATCTGCATATAAAAGAGACCTACCCATACAGAAGCAATCTGAAATATCATTTATATAAACTAAAAAAAGCAAAGAACCTAAGACACTACCTTGTATTACACCACTTTTGACCGGGATATCGTCCGATGAGGAGGAATTAATTTGGACCATTTGGTGTCGGTGACCGAATAAAGAATTAAACCAAGCAAGTAGAGGGTTTTTGATCCCGTAAGATGAGAGTCTGACCATAAGACGCTGGTGAATAACCATGTTGGAAGCCTTAGAAATATAAAAGTACAGCACTAAGACTAGGTGCCCTCGGCCGCTTTCAGTAATGAATAAATCAAAGAGGTCAAAGTGGCAGGTCATATATTGACTAGTTTTTTGTATGGAACGGCTATAAGAGGGACAGATAGGGGAAGCAATAACTACTATTTTATGGTCACTGATTTCAAATTCATTATATACTTGTATAGATAGTGAGATGGTATATCTACAGAATATTAGATCAAGTATACTATCATGCCTTGTTGGGGTACAAATCCATCAGGACCAGTATTACATGTTAATTGTTGCTAAAACTTCATGATTGCATGACTGACCACCACTGGTATTCTAGTTTATTCCAAGATAATTGAAATCTCTTGTAATAACCTTCGTATTGAAATTTAGAGCAGACGCATCAGTAATAAGATCATTCACATTATCCGAATTGTCAGGGGCTCTGTATATACATTCCATGAGTAGGCTGTGATTCGGAGTGTTGACTGACATCCAGACCAATTGAAGCAAACTACTCAAGATACTGTCTTCAACTTTATTTATCAAAGGCATATATAAAACAGCCACTCCAACGTTTTGTTTCTCTATTACAGAGATAGAGATTGTAGTTCTGGATAATTAATTCTGAATCAGACTGCAGTATAGCACCTTGTTTCAGTAACAAGTATGAAAAAAGGTTTCGTTAGCGAAGCTGAGGTTTTTAAGGTCAGAATTTTATTTAGAAGTGAACGTGCAATGAAAAGTAATGAGTTTAAAAAGGAAGTATAAAATGTAAATAAATATAAAAAAAACGAAAACGTCATTTCCGATGTTATTCACTTTAGAAGTGACTGGACTATAGTTTAGTACGGATGTCTAATCGTTTGCTAACCATGATTAAATTAAAATTATGTTTTCTGTTATGTCAGTTGAATATCCTAACTTATGTTATTATTATTATTATTAGAATCTTTATTCAACATTATATTTTTGGTACAACATAGAATTCTCAGCATAAAGTATTTCAACAAGTTTCCTTTTCTTATACCTTGATCTATTGTGACGATATATTTCGAATGATGACCGGTTAGATGTTAGGAGTTCGGTAATCCACATTTGATTAATGTTCATTCGTTTCAATGCATATTGCCAGCCACCATGATGTCGCTGATTGTATCTTTTTGTATCACGTATAGCGAAAGGTTGTAAACTTTTCATAAACGCGCCTGAATAAATTGTGCGCACAATAGACATAATGATGTGCTAAAACAAACAACAAAACACATAACTTGATGAAATATCTAGATCAGAGGAACAGGCAGTCCAGATATTCAAGCAGGCTGCCGGTCAGTCAGTTTGATTCTGTAAATCGATATCAAGAAATGTTAAATCATAAAAACAACTCTATGAATAAAGATGACAAGAATAAAATAAATAAATAACTCGGTGGTTAATTATGTCTTTAATGTAACTTAATTAAATTATTTATATTGTCAATTTTATACGTACATCAAATTGTTGATTACTGAACATCAATTACTGCCAATTCAATGTAGCCAAATCTAATTATTGACCGGATATTCAAAATGATACATACCTATTTGAACAAAGAATATTCTTGTCGATAAATTCTCTTCAGGTTCTACAATTATATTATCCAAATTAAAAATCTGAAAAGTGACCAGGTTAAGGGTAAAGTACACTGTTTAAAGAATGTGAATTTAGGATTGTTCAACAAAATACAATATCTATTTCATTATAGAATTTGAAGTTGTGTTGATCATTTGGAGATTTCTGTTTAATACAATATAAATTCTTCATGTTCAGTTTTACTTCTCTTCCTTGGATCAAATAATATCAATCTTTGTTCCGCTATCCTTTACCAAGTAAACTATTGTATTCATAGTCTTGATAAATAGCATTTTTATGCGAAGCTCATAATTATATTTATTAAATATGATATGGTTCATCACGATGATAATGTTGTTACAGTTACAATCGGTATTTTTTTTATTTAATAGCTGCAATGACGTTAAATGCCTTGTTCAAACTTTTTTAATGAAATAAATGATTTAATGAGTTCACTATCATAATTACTAGACATCTATTTTAATAATTCGTCAACCTATTATACAATATACATATGTTAGTAAACAATGGCCCAGGAAATTTAAGGAAATATTTCAACCTAACATAGTAGTACTGTTTTATTATTTTTTTTGAAAAGCAACCGTAGTCAATATGAAATTTTTGTCCACTACCAAGATCCATTCATGGTAACTTCACTGGAGATTAGTAGATGGATAGGAATTTAAAAATCAGCCAGATAAACAACCATCCCATACCTTAATTGAATTATACTGTTTTATAATAGTTACATATCAGTATAACTTTGTTACACCTGGTTATGAATTAAACCACTGCAATATAATTAAATTCACTTTTTACATTGAAAGTGAATATTAGTTGCTCATCACTTTTATTTGTTTTTTTTAATTGTTGTATTTAGACGCCAGCTCCTGCATTTGAACCACAATATTATCCAGTTCATAAAGGGAAAAAGGTGAGTTTCATAAATGTGTTTCACAGAAGGTGCCTGTTATAACTTGCGGCCTTATGTCCTACTAATATATAACGTAATGATACCGCCAATTAAAGATTATTGATTTATCGACCGAACCAGTGACGCATAAACCCATACGATCAGTCTAGAGTCTCTATCGACCCGTGTTCCCGCCTACCCCACCCTGTTAACTTCAAAACGTTAATCTCAGCCTCTGAGATTTGAATCATGTATTTCAAACATACTGGGTTTATATACAAACCAAACAGACTACATGGTACCATAAAATAGAAAATAACATCTCTACAAGATTTAGCCATAAGTGACTGTGAGTGTGAGAGACAGTAATTAATAGACTGGCATAACTCAAGAATGGTAAATCGTATAATAATAGTGTATAAGTCAAAATAAAGCTTATGATAAGAGGAACACGAATATAAATAGTTTAGTTACTTAACAATTATACAATAAAAATATATGTATATTATTAGTTCAGAAATAGATTCCAACAGTTACCACTGATTATTCTTATCGGGATGTAACAGTGCCATGAGAGAGATCAATGATTATAGATTTATTAAATGTGAGAATAGTTTTTACCATAGATGAAAAACTAGTTGGACAACTGTTTAAAATTCGGAATTATTGGTTAGTTGTTTTGTTCTAGTGTCGAATTATTCATCAATGTTAACCCATGACTCACACAATGGATGGAATTTGTTACGCTTTGTTGTCTAAAAGCGAACATGATACTTATGGGTTACTATAATGATAATTATTTTCAAATTTAATTAATTTCTATAAACCAGTCAGTTAAATGACGAAAGGATTATACCAATAGAAATTAAGCTAAAAATCCAACTATATCTTGTAGACAAATTATTTAATCAGTCTACTTCCAAGTGTTATCATTTTTTATATGTACTAACGAATGATTTTTAGGCAACAACCAATTTATTATCTTCAATGTAATTATGAAGTTAAGTTGTAGTAATCTTTTGAAAATCTTTAAAAATATGGAGCTTTAACCCTAACTATATAACTGGCAACATTTATGACTTGGAAAATTGATTAATGAAATATTTTCCTGATGGTAAATTAAGTTATGTGGAAGAAATATGACATTAAATCCTTGGATTAGAATACGAAGTAACTTTAAACAATGAAATCTAAGAAACAAAATACAGTTCGTGAAAATAAAATATATATAAGTCAGATAAATATGTGCAGTATTTACTCTCATTGGTTAAAGTCCGAACTAATGTCATAATAAATCGTATACGATAACTATTAGTAAACTAAAATTTGCTCCGGTTACTCTAAACAGTTTGATACTAATGCAACTCATGTTGGATTTCATGTGTAGTTGAAAAATATTCGAAACGCTACTAATCGTTACAAAAAGTAACAAAATAAAATAGTAAACATCAGTATACGGCTGTGTAGATTGTGGAGTTTTACTGACATCACGAACCGATCTAAATTAGATAAACAATGAAAAACTGGGATCACTGAATGGCTGTCTCGTTCAAGTGATGGTCTTCTTAGTAGTGTGCACTTACTGTGCTTCAACCGATAATAAAAACATGAATGCTTAATCTTTAGACTACTCAGCCAGTATACAATGGTGTACAGGAGATTAAGCATTTGCTCGTTAAACCGAAAATCCTAGGTTCGATTGGCAGTTGGGGTTTCATGTGTCCGCAGTGGTGGGGAGTCCCACACTAGGACGAAACGGCTGTTTGGTGCTCTCAGGTTTTTAGTGGTTATCCAACTTAGATGTCGATGATAATCGGAAATCAACCCGAACAAGACAATCAGATGTTAGTAAACTAAGAAACGAAAATATAAAAAATTAGAAGATCAATGATACTGATTAAACAAGCTAGTAAAATGACTTCCATGAATTAAAAGGTTCACACCTGTAATATGTAAATTCATATCATGCGGAAATGGAGTGAGAAATTATTTTAATATTGAACTATTAAAACAGGAAACAACCAAAGGTTATGAATATCGGTTTATGACTTCTTAGAACTCATTAACTAGATGCCCTTGGAACATATATATAAATTCACAAATTGAATATTGAATATGACGTAATCCAAAGTATTCCATACTTAAAGTTCAAATTTCAAAACCAGATCTTACTTTCTTTTGAATTAAACGTTTAGATATTTTTCTTCCTAAGTTTATTACATGAATATGAAATCTGTGAATGGGTCAAGATAGAACAACTTTCATGCATAACTACTAATCATATGATCTTCAAATTAAACCATTTTTTTTTACAAATTACAATGTTGGATAATTGGGAAAATTTGACAAATTTTATAAATAATATAAAATACCAACAAGGTATTGTTGGTATTAACCAGTACATTTTATAAATCCCTCTTACTATTCAAAATATCAAATATAGTCATTTAACTTAATAACCAAGTTGAAATAAAAATCAAAACTTATATCATTGATGTTACAATTCACATACTGGTTAGTGTAAAAACTATAATTTTACCTAATATATAAACATAACTAATAATTTTGACAAGAATGACACTTTATTATCTGTTATATAATGTTGTATAGAATAGATGAACGAAACTTGGAATGTTGTGACAAGTTTAAGCACTTCACAGGATAAATAGATCTAATTTAAGCATTAATAATGTTGTCATTTATCACAGTCTATTTCTTAAAATGACCAAATGACTGTGTCACATAGACTTGTGTAAATTAAGGATTTTTAATGATAATTGTTAGTGAATTGATTTAAAGTAATCAAAATGTACCTGTTATGTTTTCTAATGATGTGCATGTATGTCAGCATTTCCATAATCAAGTTTTCTTGCATATGTTTGTGGATAGTTATTTGAACTATCGGTTGGTTTATCACACTTAAATCAGTTCGTTTATCTGTCAGAGCCATTGTGTTAATTGACTTCCTCAGTTGAGTTTTATTTTCATAGCTTTTATCTTTTACTAAGCAGAAATTTCTTAAATTTGCCATGTGTCAACTATAAATTATCAAATGAATGTTGAGTTTATACTCTGGAAATATTTTCGATTTCTTAGTGCACTATTAAAAGTATATCTCCCATGAACAAACTTGTCATTCTATTGTAGGAATATTATATGCTACTTGTCAGTAGTTAAAATACATTAGTAGAAGTTTCGGACAGTGACGATGGTAATTAGATTGATTTGTTTGTCTATTTGTTGACCATCTGACAGATCGGAATCACTTCTTTGAACAAATATTCTACTTTGATTATCAGTTCGTTTAGTTGTTAAACAATCTGGATTTCACATTTAACATATTGGTGTGTACTTAAGAATCATTAAACACTAAACCGAATTTCATTCATAATAATTTCATTAATAACATAATATGCGAATTATATTCTAATCAGAACAAACGACAAGTAATTTAGATACATGATTAGAGAAGATTTATTCAGTATGAGGCTAGTTTTAGCCATAGACTGATATCAGCTGAACAACCAACGAAAATCAGAGTTTAGTGAAAAAAATAATCAATTCATACACAAAATCGCACCTAGGATCACAGAATTTATCTTCAGAATACATAACGGAAACTATTACTTAACATTTTTAACTTCAAGAAAATTTTGATATGTCGTGAATAACATCCAGTACCATTATGAATATATGTTGAACTTTTGATTTGACTGAGTTCACACGTAACAGCTTCTCATCAGAACTTCCAGAATGTTCGTTTTGATTACAGCCATAAAATTATCAGTGATATATTTCGCTTGTCAGTATTTAATAATAAAACTTAGTCACAGTATGTAACAGAAACTGTCTTTTTAAATTTCTACACAATTTGCACAATGATATGATATATTCGACATTCATTATTATCTTACGAACAGTACTAATTCCTAATATCATTAACATTCGATTTGTGATCCCTGATATCCTATTTTCATCTGTCCGAACGAAGTTATCATGTTAACTTTGGAAACGACTACATATCAGTTTTGAATAGCAATATGAAATTGACTAGACATTCATTCAATCGCAAAAATACAGACTAGTTACAAGTTCCTTTCTTCAGTTCTTTTCTTCTTTTAAGGAAGGTATCGGTATTAAAATGTCAGCCTGTTGAATGTTATTTAGTTGTTTAAATTATATGCTTATTTTTGAAACGCTGGCTTCATATTGACCTTTGCTTATGTACAACTATAATTTAATCAAACTGATGAACTAATTATTATCACTAGATTTGGTAATTTTCCGGGACTTTCAGATCATTAGCTAAGTATAAACAGTCCTGTGGTTTTTAAGGTTGTATAGTGAACAGCACTGAAACTCAAGACGAGCTTTTCCTCATGGATGAGACTTGTCAGTTGGATGCACCTGCATCCCAGAGTTGATGTTCATACTGAGACTTGAACAGCGAACCTTTGATTTAAAAGATTCGTAGGGTAAATTTCACCTCATTAAAAGCAGAAACACTGCCGAGAAATTTGGCAATTCAAAAATAGTGTCTTTATCATAAGACTGGACCATCATCTAATTAACTGCATATTAAATAGGGTGTAGATAATGTAATCTAATAATCATTCTTTTCAATAATCTTTTTATAACTTACAGCTTTATTTAATTGCACAAAATAAACCATTACGTGGTGATTTGAAATACAATGATCGAATAACTGGTGCACATGCTGGCTCAATTTTTGCATGTCAACGTGCAGCAAATCTTAAAGGTCTCGGAAGAGCATTCTATCCACTACTCAGTACAGATATGTTCAATATGGATTATGTTGTACCGCCAACATATAGATATGGTGTTCCTTTGGTTAATTTATATGTGAGTTAATTAAGACTGATTTTATAATCTCATCGGTTATGTAGTGACTTTCATTTGATAACTATTTAATTGAAATAACTGAGTACTAGTTGTATCCATCATCAGTATTTGTTAGTCAGATCAAAGGTCACAAAGCATAAAGAGTATAGACTAAGAAGTTTACGGAATAAAATACTTTTCAGTTGGTGTTATTTTGAGATATAACTTATTTCTAACTTTCCAAGCTTATTTGTATACATTATTAAAGACTAGATGACTGTGTTTATCCTTATTTCCAAATAAAGTACATAATACATTTTAAGATATTACTCACCAGCATATAAAACATATTTTAGCTCAGGAACACCTGAAAAATATACCTATATCTCCATGGTCAATCGTCACAAAAGTATATCCTTTTTCAGATTATGTGATTTGGTTGATTACATTTGGCAAATTAATATTAAATGTACGATATCTCATACCTATTGAAAGCACGCGCTAAGCCAGTAGGTCCTGGGTTCGAATCCCGCGGGGGGCGGGTTCGTGGATGCGCACTGCTGAGGAGTCCCATACTAGGAGGAAACGGCCGTCCAGTGCTTCCAGGTTTTCAATGGTGGTCTAGCTTCAACTAACTCATGATTTCAACCTGTGAAATTAATATTAAATGTACGATATCTCATACCTATTGAAAGCACTGATAAGCTCCATCTGTAATATCCAAAATCATCGTTAACATGATTATTATTGATTCACTAACATATTAGTTAATCATTAATCATTTGACTACTTCCATTCTCATCCTTGATTGACCATCACTTATTTAATTAATTAATTAATCCTAATTATGTGATCTTGTAATCATATTTCTTTTTATATTGAACCTGATGCTTAAATTTATTGACTAATAAATTAATGGCCATTTGTTCTTTCTTCTGATAATGATCCAGATAGAGATTTGTAATACAATTGTTATTTAACCATCTTATTTTAATATAGATCAATTAATAATTATTCTTAACAATTTCATAGTGGTCTAGCTTCAAATGACTCATGATCTCAACTATTAACATTACTATACTATCCACCAAACCCCTTCCTGATATGAAATAATTGTGTTTACTATTGTGACAAATAACATGTTATTTCTTGACTTCATTTTATGTTTTTGTCTATTTAATAGGGTGAAATTCTCTTTGATGATTTTATGAGTCTTGTTGAAGGACGTTCAAAGCCACAAGCGAAATTATTGGATTTTGATGGTGTTGATATAACAGATGATATTGTGTAAGAGTTTGATGAGAAAATTTTATTCTTTATTATTCAAACTATATGTTATGTGCCTTTATGAAAAGTAACATTTATATTAATCATATTACTAAAAGGAATTTGGTTGATTGATTTGTTAATCAGTGGAACGGTTTTATAAATAAGTTTTGGATATATATTGACGATTATTATTATTATTATTATTATTATTATTATTATGAACTGAGAAAAAAAAATGAATATCAGAAAACAGTAGATAACTGTTTTACCATAGGTTAGAATTATTATGAAATGAGCATACATGACAATACACAGGATCGTATACATGGTTTTTCGATTTTATGACTAAACCAGCATCCATTAATTCACATTTTCAATTCCAGTCTATTTCCAACATACTCCATTCTTGTTTAATTTTGTCGTCGACGTACTTTTAGAGATAACACTCTCCTCATCTGAATCTCCAGGGGTTGAACTTCTACCAGAAGATTCACTTGTTGACTTAGAATATGCTGATGACATAGTTTTATTTGGTGAAGACGCTAACAAAATGCAGAGTCTTCTGACCACTCTAAGCAACAATGCAAGCATGTTCGGCATTCGATTCTCCCCCTCGAAATGCAAAATGTTGCTTCAGGATTGGGTTGCATCGACACCCGAACTAATGATAAGGAGTGAAGTAGTTGAGCGTGTCGATCGCTTCACTTATCTTGGAAGTCTCATCAGCCCTTGTGGTTTGGTGTGTGACGAAATCTCAGCACGGATACAGAAGGCTCGAGTAGCTTTTGCCAACTTGCGTCATTTATGGCGTAGGAGAGATATCCGTCTATCAACCAAAGGACGTGTTTACTGCGCAGCAGTTCGTTCCGTCCTACTTTATGGCAGTGAAACATGGCCGGTAAGAGTAGAGGATATCCGTAGGTTACTAGTATTCGATCATAGGTGTCTTCGAGGGATTGCTCGTATATCCTGGGACCGTCGAGTAAGTAACACAGTTGTTAGGAAACGGGTACTAGGTAAGGATGGCAAATCAATTGATGAAGTAGTGAAACTTCATCAGTTGAGATGGCTGGGACACGTGTAACGTATGCCCAACGACCGACTGCCTCGACGTGCGATGTTCAGTGGTATAGGAGTAGATTGGAAGAAAGCTAGGTGTGGCCAGACCAAAACATGGCACAACTCCATGAAGTCACTGACAAATGGACTGAGTCATGTCGATAGGTGTAGACTACCTGGTTGGGGACCGCAAGATGATAGCAACCGATGGTTAGAGATTCTGAATGACATGGCTCAAAATCGTTTGCAGTGGCGCAGGTGCATCCACTCTTTGTGTTCTCCCAAATTCGAATCTTCTGAATTCTTCATGTCCCTTTCTTTTCTCTCTTTCCAAATTTATTTCACTGTATTATACTCTTTGAATAACATCTTCAAACACTAATTTTCCCGATTACCGCTTATACTCTTACTACCTCTACCACTACGGGATTTGAATCGACCGCTGCATCTCTGTGCTAATGTGGTGTGGCAACTCGAACTGATGTACGCACGTACGAAGTTCTACGTTATTACTGACTTTATTCAATTTCACTAGTAGATGATTACACCACAATCAACCCGATTGATTCTACACATTACATCTTCTTACTAGCCCCCAAATGCCCTGGTACGGCTGAGAGTGGGTAGAGTCAGCTCTTGCTCTTGAAATGCTCTCATATGGCCACGTGTATATAGCCTCTGCCAGGGAGGTCCTACTCACTGCCTTCTCGTGGCGGGGGTGTTGTTTACAAAATTGAGAGGATGAAAAGCGAATGTCCGGCTCCTTAACAGGGTCTGTGGATATGGAGAGTCCATCTAGGGGAGTTGGAAAACCCTGATTCCAAACCAATGGTGCACATGGTCTCAGTACCCCGAGGGAACAAGTGACGTATGAACGAATCGTTGGTCACCGGCTACCATGGAACTGCATCTCCTTACGATGCTCCACTACCTTGTGAACCAGACCTTTAGGTCGAAGACTCTGGGTGCGGCCATCTAAGAAAGCCACCTGCTTCGGTTCGGGCATCGAGGCAGTATCACAGCCCTCACACAAATCAAATGAAATTTGTGTGGCGCATATGTATCTGGTGTCCCCTTGTACCAGTATTTAGATGTTCAAATAAAATAAAATAAATAAATCTCACTAAGGACATCACAATAGAATCACCATTAAACATACACTTGTCATTCAGTTGGATGATTCATAAAGATTACAACTGTATTCATTGAATTGTAGGTCATTCTGACAACTTCGTCATATTTTATACGGTTGTTCATTAGTCACATACCATGACTAAAAGAAGATAGGAGTGTAACATGAGTCTACCAACACTGATTTACGCAAACTATTTATCATCACTTTAGTATTTAAATTAATTGATATCTCCAGATAGTAATTAAACTTATATCATGTTTTTTTGGCAATAATTGACTAAGTAATTCAACACTTAATTCCACTGTATTATTTCATGCTTTCACTCATACTTTTCAACTGCAGTTAATTTTTTACGTGGAGTATAACTCAATATAGACTTCATAAATTCTGATATTTTAACAAAACGATGACAGTAATGAATGTAGACATTATGAGAGAAAATTAATGATAATAATAATAAAGAACTAACCAAATTTGACTTATCTATCTATTTAGACAATTAATCCATTATGAACATGACTAATCGATACGAAATGAATAAAAAGTAGAACGTTTTAATGGAAAAAATGAACAGGAATTGTTGTCAAGTCAATTCACTGTTTTCTTAATAGAATTAGTCAATAATAAATTAATGTATGAATAGTGATTTATTTTTTGAAGGGTTTCATCTAAGCAACTAACGGAACTCTTTTTAATGTACATATTTATTTATTTATTGTAAAATATACATTAACTTCACAGTGCAATGACAAAAAGGGGGGATTATTATGAAGAATGCGATTGAATGTATTCAGTTAGTCAGTTTGTTGTGATTATATTTCATTTTGAAACTTAAACCATTCATGATATTGATACTATTGGAAAAAAAATAAAAGTTTACATTAAGGTATAAATCGAGAGAGTGAGAAAGAGAGATTAGATGACTAATCTAATAGATGTAAAAAATAATGATCTGTCAGTTTATGCTTTCATTTTGTTAGTGAACATGGATTCTAATGTTTTGTTATTACTGGCCGAATTATACGTTTGGAATACATTGAGTATTACGTGTTTGGAGGAAGTCAGTAGAAAATCCTGGTTATGTGTTTCGTAGCTATTCGTTGGTAATCTTTGCCAAGAGGTATCCACATTCTTGAAGAAATGGTTTTTGCAGTAGGATTACAATCTTAAACGTTACCATTGAGCTACTGGTTTCATGACTGACCACCTGTAGGACTAAGGTGTTTACACTAGTTGAGTGGTGGTCATTGTCATGTTTGCTTAATTGTTAGTTCGCATCGTCATTCGATATTATTTAATCAGTACTAAAAACAGGATAATAGTAAAATATGTTTGCGTCATACATTATGTACATAATCAAAATTAGGTTAATTGGTAAGTGGTCACGGCAAAATTCAAAAAAAATACTATGAAATTGAAAAGTAACGACAATAACATATGTTAAACTAAACTTCTATGAAACAAAATAGTTGTTTTTCAGTCCACATATTTATATATTCCCACCACCACTGATCAGTAACTACCTAATTAAAATCGATATTTATATCCTATTCTGTACAAATGTAATGCATACCTCCTGAAGACATTGGTCAAAAGTGATTTCAGTACTTAAAAGACACTGAAAATGTATCAAAGAACAGGTGAAGTTTTCGTGTAAATTGTGTTATTTAGCCAGTATATGCTGATAATACCACATGGTTACTACCTTGATATTCAATTTACTATCACCTTAAAGGATAATAACTAGTAACTTATTCAGGTTATTTATGTATCCGAATAATGTCCGATAAAATGTCACCAGAGTCACAATATTCTACAATTATTTAAAGGCTACGATAGATTTATTTATATTCCATTAACTATTTTCAACCACAGAAATACAGGGTAACTATTTTATTTCGGTCTTAAATTCTTTGCTTATAAAAAATTAATATCTGTAAATTTAATCGATGTGTTCCATTTCATTTTGGCTCTGTGCGTTAAATTGATATCACTTTCATACAGAAACCTAAAGGTCCTAAATATAAACGTTTTATTCGTACTCCTAGGAGTTTTTTAAAAAGTATTTTTCCAGGTTACCTTTATGTTAAACCATATCAACAAAGATCACTAAATTAAACTGACAGATTTATATACACATGAGACATATTTTTACCAATTTTCACTTTTTTTAAAAAATAGTGCACCATGTTTATGGATTGGTCAAAAACCAATTTATTTAAATGGTGATTATGAATATGCAGCTCAGTCAAAATGTCGTAATTGGCAGTCAACTTATCCAGGTGAAAATGGTTTAGCTGTGTCTTTACCAATTGTTGACAATGCACCAGGTTTATTTTCTAAACAAAATTTTAAATTAATATCATGTTCGAAATTTTGTCGAATGTTATGCATACAAATCACACCATCCAATACGTAATCAATTATAATTATTATGATAATCAATATTCGATTTATGTATCCGTATACACTTATTCCTGTTCTACATCCAGACATTTTTTTATCGATTAATATACATATATATTGCTACTAAGTGAATTAAACGTTTGTCAATTTAATGAGATTTTCAAAATATTCAACAGCTGAAAACAAGTACATAGCTGTTTGTTATTCTCCTGAATTTGTTCACTATTCAATACGAAACGATACTACTCTTTTTTCAGTACATACTAATATAATTTACTGATTCCTTCATCGTAATTGAACATTTTCGAGTTTGTCGATTTTAATTTCAGTGTTGAAATCCAACAATCAAGCATTTATATTCTCTCATTTATTGAAGAAAAAAAGAATAAGAAACCGATTGTTTTTTGTCAAAATTTATTTGTCTATCTATTTATCTATCGTTTTTGACACCTAAATCCAACGTTTACATATACCTACTACAAAAAAGAACAGTTTTGAATTTCATTTGAGTTTTTCACCGACGCACCAATACATACACACATACACACAGATACACATGAAGTAAAATTTATGATTTTAATGATTTCAGTATTTCTATCATTATTATTATTATTACTCCATATGTTTGTCTTTTGTTCAAAATTTTGTGGTATAATCTTTTCCTCATCTGCATGAATCACTATTTCTATGCATCCAATTGGAACAACTGAGGAATTAATAATTAGCTTTTGTGCAATTAATTTTGTGTGAAAGTGAAGCGGAATTATCTGGTCAATTTACATTGGTTTTGTTACTTACTTATATTAATTGTGTGCAAATTTTATGTTGGAACAGTTAAATATGTAATGCACTAGAATAATGGAAATATAGACATATATTTTATACGTGATATAAATTTGTAATTTATTTTACGCTAAAAAGAAATAATACTAAATTCATTATACCATAGGCATTATATGATTTGGGTTTACATGGAATTCTGTTTAAATTATTATGAATTATACCTACTAATTATTAAATAAGTAGCAAACAAAACCAAATGTAAGAATCCCATCTTCATTTAGTTATGAGCTAAAATGATAGAAGTATGTCGTTGAAGTTCAGATGTATTGGTTATTAGGTTGGCTGTCGAGATATTCAACTTCGAGGTGGCTTTTGTCACATACTTGTATTAGTTGAAGATTCGTTGAAAACTTGATGGCAACTGAACAAATTTTTCTTCATAGTATGAAACCCTTCAGATGTACATACTCAAAACCTTCACGGGTGTGAATCCAGAACTTTCAGTTCTCATGTCGAGAATCGAAGTGAAATCCAATAGTCTAGATTTTAAGGTTCACTTAGTGAGTATTTTATTCCAAGTATCACTCAATATTTTCATTAGTAATATCTATCTCACTTCAAGTATCATTTAACTTCAACTATCGTAACTTTTTACTATAACTTTGAGAATTTATCTCTACATTAATCACTAACGATCACACTACATGTATGTGAATATAGTTTCTGCTCAGCTTTCACCACTGATTGAGGTTATCTGGGAAACCAATGAAAATCACTTGTCACCAGGCCTATGTTCTACAGGTACCTCATCCATGATCGAATCTAGTAGCTTTAAGTCTTGAAGAGTAGATTATCGCACAACTTGTGAATTAAAATATAATAACAAGAATAATTTAGTTTTAATTAAGACATACGGCGAGACTAATTTATGGACGACCTTTGAACGAATTTTAAATGACCTTGAGAATATTAGTCAATCAGCAAACAGTCAGTATAGAGTAAAAATATGTTATACAAAACCAAGGAAAGAAAGTGGATATACTTCTTATACGTGGTTCAAAAATTGTCAAGGTTAGAAAGAGGTTCAGAAGTTCTAAAATCGTAATGCATCCAGTGGAGGAAATCTACCATACGGCTACAGAATAGTCGGCCTCTGGAGCCATGATAAACTCTCAAAAACTCTTTCAGCCTCGACCACATAGTTTCAATATTGTTTATGTGCACTTCGGTTGTTGAATGCACAAAATGCTACTTGTGGATAACGACACGATGCACATAGCCAAGCCTATGTAGGAGTCTGTAGGCTCTCCAAACATCCGTATATATTGTAGTACCTAGCTGCAGCCAGTGTTACTGGTACTTTTATTATCCAGTTCGCGATAATTGTCATAGTTTGCCTCAGTTAGGAATTATATATAGGGTTTTCATCACGAACTGACATCAGCTATGATGCTAGAAATTTATTTAGCCAAATGGATGAAGGGCTTTCGCGTTAAAATCCGAGATCTATTATCTTATACCTGATTGATTCGTCCATAAATTATAGTCTCGCCGTTTTATTTGTTATAACCGCTCAATTATCACGTTTTGTACAAAATTCCCTGTGAACCGAATGTACGTTAGCAGTAAGCACTGAAGTTGGCGCCGTAACCTTGAAATCTCTAAGACGTCTCTGACTGGCTCATCCGTAAATTAGAGTCTCGCCAGACATACAACAACTATCTAATTTAATCTATGTATCTTCATCACCTTTAAATTTTATTGATCTCACCAGTTCTCTTTAGGTGTCGGTTAAATTCATCTTCAGACAAATAATTAATAACCAATGTTTTGTAATCACTTTTACGTAATCAAGTGATTTGTGATTAATTTGATCTATTAAAGCTTTCGTTAGTTAGTTATACAGTTACGATAGACATTTTTAAAAATCTATGCCAGTATCATAGATGATTATATTTCTTGTCTTTTTAATGAATTCACACAATAAATTCTTTTATTGTCACTCGAAATTATCTGGTTGCGGGCCAGTAAAGTGATTGATTAACCATTAAAGTCATGAGCACTTAGACTGCCGGGTTACAGGATTCATCTATTTAAAATTTTACAATAAATTTATGTCATCTTTCAACCAAAAGGTGTAGTTCAGAAATGTCAAGTATACTAGTCTATACGTGTGCCAGTTAATTTAAGTGATGTATTGGCAATCTAGCAATTACACCCCCTAATCTAACTTCAACGCATCGGAATTAGTGATGAGACATGGTTTAGTAACTAATATAACGAATAGTTCGATATAATACACACAGGTATTGAAGAATGACTGAAGCCTTATCGATGATGAAATTTGACAGTATAATTGGTAGGACATTAAGTGAAGGGAGTTTATTCGAATTCTATCTTGATTTCGGATTTCACCCCATGTTTTAATACATGGTTATATATATGCGGTCATCTAATAACGATGCTTATTAAGAGACCTTAGTGAAACTCGTTTACCATGAACATCTATATGCTTGCCAACAATGATCTGTCCATAGTTTTAAGTATAAAGGAGTATAATATTTTGGAATGCTGTTAACAGTAGAATTTATGACACACATTTCTTTGACGGAGTTTTGTTCCAGCTCAGAGAACAAAACTCCATCAAGATCATCCACCTGAGCTACAAATCTTTTCCAAACATTTCTTTCCAACTAGAACTCGTCAGATGGATGTTACGGTATCTTAGTATTAATGTTTACAGTGGGACTCCAACATAGTGCTTTCCAACTAAACTAAAACTTTTAAATGAAGTCTATATCAAGGTAATCAGTTCAGGAACTGTACATGGTAGCAGAGAGTGGTCAATTCCATTCCTGTATAATATTAATAACAACAATAGGAAATTACAAACACTAATATTGAAATAAAGTCTCGAATTATGTCTTAAGTTAACATATATATCCAATTTTACACTGACAGACTAATTATTAATTAAGCATTTGACTGAGTGGAATAGTTATAATCCAAAATGATCCAAATAGATCTTTTTTCATGTACACAGAAAGAAAAAAACAGGTAAATCTAATTAACACGTTTTTGAGAATTTAAATGTATGTACAAAAGATATACACAACAAAGCTATTGCATTCATAGTTCAATATCTCTGTCAATGTATTTTAGGTATTAAGTCAAAATGATCATATTCTATGTGTCCACAAGATAAGAGCAACTATCAATGATAATAATAATAATGATAATAATAATAATAATAATAATAATAATAATAATAGTGTTCGCTTCAGAATAAATTATATTTTGAAGAAGAAACATTAAGGAATGTTGTAATCTAATATGATTGTGTTCATAAGTGTACTTAATTGGTATTTTTCAAAAAGAGAATGTTTCACAAATAACTAGAACACTTTCAAATAGATGGGTGTGTTTTATTTTTCTAATTATCTTCTTCACAACTATACACATGTAATCTCTATTTCTTTTTTCTTCTTTTTTTTGGTTGGAAAAGAAAACAACTCAACATTAGATCTCTTCAAAAATTTCATTTGTCCATGTGTTCTTTTTATGTAATGATCTTTTGAATGTTTTCATATTCAGAAAATTATTAAAATGTTGATTATTATGCATAGATGATGATGTTATAGACGATGATGTCATTGACGATGATGTGGTTGAAGTTGATGAGGATACAGATTCTGTAAATTGATTATTAATTAATTCATTTAAATTACGTGTAAATCGATAAACATAACGTTTTCCAGAAACTTTTTCAATAATTTTTTTATCATAATAATATCGTAAACCACGACTTAATTTTTCATAATTCATTTTTGGTTTATTTTTTCTAGCACCCCATCGTTGTGCTACTTGATTTGGTTCTTTTAATTTGAATTCATTTTCATAACCAGTCCATGAAATAAATGCATTTGCTTCAGGATCTTGTAATTCTTCTAATAAAAATTGCCATAATTGTATATGTCCATGATGATTGGTTGTTGGTGTTATTGGACAATAGAATGATGTATTGTATGGTTTGTCCATAGATTTAATGTCATTGAAAATTAATTGAGACTTTTGATGATAATGATTAGACTGATGAGTACATTGACTAACTTTATTATGAATGAGAATAATATCACTATCACAATGATTTGTACTGACAATGTCAACAGAAGAATGGGAAGATTTGGTCAAGTTATTCGTAGGTAATTCTGGACATACTTGTATTGTATCATTAATAGAGGAATTTGTTGGTAACTGGTCTAAGTTATATTCACCTACAAAAAATGTTCAGACAAAATAGTTACTTATATGAACGATTTATCAAAACTTGATTGAACAGTCTGGTAAAGATTGGGCCCTGAATATCAGGCAAACATCACATGAAAATTTCAACTAAAGTAGTCTCAGCGATTGAAATTTAAGAATCCCAACGCTTCGTCCGGGAAAGTTTTGATCATTCCCTTGAGGGAACACTGATGGGTCTGCCCAGTGAAACGGACTATCCAAATTTCAGTCACTGAGATTATTTCAAGTAACTTTTACACATAAAGGTTGTTCATGAAAATGTATCAATTACTGTTTAGCTACTAATGAGTAGGCAAATTATTATGGTGAATTGTTTTGGCGTTTATGGCTAGTGTAAGTTTATTATGAATCGAAGCAATTACCGATTTAACTTTCATCAAACTGCCTGTTTCGTTCTAACGAGGTTTATAGTAAAGCTGGCTTTGTTATCAAACAGTTGAGCTCTGATAAAAATAAGAACGAGGTTTTATTCATCGTCTACACATGACGGATTGTGTCGTTCTATTCAGTTATTAGTATCTTATATCGTTACAATTATTTCCGTGTAGTAGCTGACTAGTATGTACTGGATATATACGAACTTCAAATAACACGACCGGTGATCTGTAAATCTTATACCTTTATGTCAAAATAATATTTTCATTAGTGAGGTATTAATTAAGGTTATATAAGGGCTCATTAAAATATTTTACCCATTTACTGATAAACGATGTGAACAAACAGATTTAAAAATCCCTATTTTATTTGAATGAATGGACAGATGAATCTATAAATTATACTAAAATTCTTACACATATTACGAGTTGGACTTTGATTCAGTGTCAACATTTCATATACTAGATTTTTAACAACTAAGTAGCAAGATTACGAGCAGCAACATTTATATGACAGATTTTATACTTAATGTTAATCGTTTCCTTCGTTATCTTCCCATGTAATTAAATTATTAAATCTTTGTTGATATTTTAAATGACATGTACCAATTAGAATAAAGTTGTGGTGTCTTTCTGGTTATTGACGTATTGTCAGTAC